TAAAAGCTATGTGTGGCCAGCCAGCCAGTGTGGCTTAGTGGTTGAGCATGGACCAAGAGGTCGCTTGTTCGATTCTAGTCAGGGCACATGCCGAGGTTAGGGGCCAATCCCCAGTGTGGGACATGCGGGAGGCAGCCAGTCGATGTTCTCTCTCATTGATGTTTTTAACTCTCCTCCTCCCTTCCTCTCTCTCTAAAAATCAGTAAAGAAAGAAAAAAAAAGTCCAGCTGGTATGGCTCAGTGGTTGAGTATCAGCCCATGTACCAAGAGGTTACCAGCTCAATTCCCAGTCAAGACATATGCCCAGGTTGTGGGCCAGATCCCCAGTGTTGGGGGTCATGCAGAAGGTGACCAGTTGATGTTCTCTCTCATCAATGTTTCTATCCCTCTCACTTCCTCTCTAAAATCAATGAAGGAAAAAAAATTTTTTAAAGAAATTAAAAAAAGGCTATGTGTGCTATCACATTCAGTAAAGGGAAACTTTATTTGTTTATTAACTTATTCTTTAAATATTTTTGATTTCCTACTTTGTGTCAGTATGCCAAGAGTTCTAAAGTGACCAAATCAGAGACCTTGCTTTGAGGAACTCGCAGCTCAGCAGGAAAGTACAGACATTCCACAAAATGTATACAGCACCTAATATGTGCCTGGTGTTTGTGTTTATTGGGAATACAAAAACAAATAAGGTATGACGTAAAGAAAGGAGCATCATTTCCCCTTGGGTGAGGAAGGGAAAGCTTCCATACAAAGATACCTGAGTTGGATCTTGAAAGCTGAACCAGAATCTACAAAGATCAATGAAGGGAGGAGCAAGTAGGGAAGAAAAGAATTTCTGAAAGTAGGAATGTTTGAAAGTCACAGAGGTTTGAAACAGCCCAGCACATGTAGGGCTCTCTAATTACTGCAGTTAGCTTGTAGGATATATGTGGAAATGGAAGAATACGGGGTTGGTGGGAATGATAGCACCCAAATCACACAGGACCTTTTATGGTATTAAAGATTTGTAGTACTGTATGGGTTTAGGTAAGGAAGCAACATGATCAGATTATGTTTTAGAAAAATGGCTAAACAGGTGAGAAAACTGAGGTCCTTAAATTGAGACAGGGAAATCAGGAATGGAGAAAAAGATGCGGTTGTCTGAAGCAGTGGGAATGGATAGGAGGGTAAGATTGTTAGAAACATTTTAGATGTTAAATAAATTTTTAAAAAAACTCTTACTAATTAGATATGGGATTGAGAGAGAGGCCAAAGTATAAGATAAACTTGAAGTTTTTATTATTTCTATTTTAATATCTAGTTATTACAGAAGAAGATAGTGCTGCACGTTTTCATTTTTACCGCATTGGCCAGTGATTATGTAATCATTCTGTATCTTTCTTACTAATCTGAAATTTAAGAAAATTTCAAAATTTTTTCTAAAACGGAAATTATTTTTCAAGTTATAAAGGTAATATGTGCTCATTATGTAAAAATATATTAATATTGATATCATATTAATACAGAAAGATGTTGAAGCTATTATATAGTGTAGAAGAAAGTAAAAAGCAACTGAAATTCTATCATCAGGGTTAAGTACCAGTAACACCTTGTTTCTGTATACTCCTAACTTCTCTGTGCAAATACATATATAGATATTTTCTATAAATAGGATAATACTATACCTGCTATTTTATGACCTACTTTTGTTATCTGACCATTTATTTGTATTATAATTTGTAATTGTGGAGTATTCCATTGTATGGATATACCATCAATCTCTTTTTATTGAATTTATTAGGGTAACATTGGTTAATAAAATTATATAAGTTTCAGGTATACAATTCTACAATACATCATCTGTATATTGTATTGTGTGTTCACCACCCCAAGTCAAGTCTCCTTCCATCACCATTTACTGTACCCCTTTATCCTCTTCTACCTGCTCCACACCACCCCTTCCCTCTGGCAATCGCCATACTGTTGTCTGTGTCCATGCCATCATCACTTTTCTATTAGGCCTTTCAGTGGTTTTCATTTTTTATCTTTTCTGAACAATATTAACATGAATATTGTACTTATATCTTTTTGCAAATTTATGATTATTTCCCAGGATAAATTTTCAATAGCAGAAATCTTGGGTCATAGATGTGTATGTACCTCAATTTTGTGTGTGTGTGTGTTAATCCTCGCCTAAGGATATTTTTTCATTGATTTTTTTAGAGAGAGTAGAAGGAAGGGAGGGAGAGAGAGGGAGAGAAACATCAATGGGTGAGAGACACATTGATGGGTTTGCTTCTTGCACAACCCTGAGCAGGGCCAGGGATCACACCTGCAACCCTGGTAAATGCCCTTGACTGGGGTTTGAACCCGAGACTCTTCAGTCCATGGGCTGACACTCTAACCCCTGAGCCAGACCAGTTAGGGCTGTGCTTCAAATTTTGATATGTATTTTTATATGCATAAAATCAATTTATTATTTCTATTTCAGACTGCTGGGTATAAATGTCATCACTCTCTTTTCTGTGATTTTTCTCTTGTGTAAAATGGGGAATCTAAATGTTTCTTTTTTAAGGTTGTTACAGTTAACTGAGAGAATAAATATGAATGCTTCATAAATGGCAGTTACTGCTTTTAATAACATATGAAATATGCATTTCCCCCAAACCCTACCAGTAATGGGTAATATCTATCTTTCAAATCTTTGCTGACATAATGGGAAAAATGATATGCCATTTTAATTTGAAATTTGGGGATGTTGAACATCTTTTCATATGTTTATTAGACTTTTGTGTGAATTGCTTTGCATATTCCATGCTTTCAAAATTTGCTCTTTTTCTTACTTATATTTGAGGATATTTGTATGTTAGGAATGTTGACTTTGTCCTAATTTGTAAGCATGTCCCTGCATTTTGTATATTCAGTAAAACTTGTTTATGGGTTTTTTTGTTTGTTTGTTTTAACCCTATAGATTTAAAAATATATTTTTAGATAGCCAACTCCACCATTTGTATGGTTTATGATTTCTGGTTTTCCCCACTCAAACATTACCAAAATATTTGTATATACTTTTTTACTTACATTTCTTTAATTAAAATGTCTAATCCTTGTGGAATTTATTTCGTTATAAAATGAGATAACTTTGTTTCCAAATAATTGGCTAGGTGCCCCATTTCTTTTTTTCACTGATTTGAAATGCCTCTTTTATACTAAATTTCTGTATATACTTAGACTACTTTTAAACCATTTGGTTCAAACTTTTATAGTTTCTAATATGTAGCATACATTTTTCTTCATTACTCTTTAATATTCTTTGTATGTTTTTTTCTTGTAGGGAAACTTTGTAATCATTTTATAAAGTACCCCCAAGCCCTCAAAAAGAAAGATAACATTTACATTTTGATTGAGGGTTTTCAGATTTCTTGAAACAAACAGTAAATCTTGAATGTACTTTTAAAATCACATGATTACATTGGTCATTTCAGTTGAATTTATTATTCAGTAAGGGCATTTACAATTTTTATGTGGTATTTAGTACAATGGGTTTTTGAAAAATATATTTTATACTGTTTATTGAATCAGAGGCCAAAACTTTTCACCCTCCCCTTCAACAAAAACTTGAAAGCATGTCATTTTCTCAATAATAGGAAAATGTATTGTTACCTGTACATATGGTAATACTTGAATAATTGTTTCAGGTATGGTTCTCATTAAGTTTATACAAGGAAAGCCTATTAAGTTTGAAAATTGAAAACACTTTTCTTTAATTAGTATGTAAAGCCAACTACTATAAAAATTCTTTAATTACACTAGGTATTGTACCTATTTAGTTGTGTCCATTTTAGCTCCTGATTAATGTATATTTGTTTCAGTAGTGTTTCCTTTACTTGCGCACAAACATTTAAACAGAGGAAAAATAAGTGAGACCCAGAGCCTTGAAGGTCTTTTAATAAACGTAGACACCTGTTGACCAATGTTTAGAAATTATCATATCAAAAATAAGAAATCAGTTTTCAGAGTTTCTTAAGTTACTTGGCATAATCTAAGCTTTTAAAATTAACCAAATTAGTGATTCTGTTTCAGTGAAACCAAATATACAGTGAGGCTTTAAATCATTTGTAAAACATTTTAATGACCATGTACACACAGCTTTTTGATGTAAATGGGCAGTATTTATCCACTTACAGAGAAAATTGAGGTTTTGAGAGTTAATGTCAAGTAGTAGGAAGAAAGGAAACTAATATTTTGAGTACCAAATGAACCAAGCACTTTTTTTATTTTTTCCTAGGTTATGTTATGTTCTGTTATTTATTTATTTTAATCCTCACCCTAAGATACTTTTCCATTTATCATCAGATAGAGTGGGAGGGAGGGAGAGAGAGAAACATCCATGTGAGAGACACACATTGACTGGTTGCCTCCCACAGGACCTGCCTACTGCGGGGGATGAACTACAACTGAAGATAACCTGCCCTTGATCAGAATCGAACCTGTGACTCACTGGGCTCTAATCACTGAGCTCTAACTGCTGAACCAAACCAGCCAGGGCCCAGGTTATCTTATTTTAAATAAATGGGAAATTTCCTGACAGCAACTTTGATCAAGCTCTTGCTACATTATGTATGTAACCATATGTCTCCATTTTACCAGTTCTTCCTGTTTTTTTTTCTTTTCTTACTTTATTTAAATGTGTTTGTTCACTCAGATTTTATATAATAAGAATGCCCTGATATCAGCTGCTTTGCCCAGCTGCTCAAACATCCATGGTTGATTATAGTGATGATCTTAATAATTTTTTTTTGTTTTTTAGATTCCTGAATTTGACAACTTGTACCTGGATATGAATGGAATTATACATCAGTGTTCCCATCCTAATGATGATGATGTTCATTTCAGAATTTCAGATGATAAAATCTTTACTGATATTTTTCACTACTTGGAAGTGTTGTTTCGCATTATTAAACCTAGGAAAGTGTTTTTTATGGCTGTTGATGGTGTGGCTCCTCGAGCAAAAATGAACCAGCAGCGTGGAAGGCGTTTTAGGTAAACCATTTGTGGTTTATTTTAGAATACTATTTAGATTAATAAAATATATTATTTTAATAATAATTGACACAGTGCATCTTCTGTTCATGTTTTTTTCCTGCTTAAATATCTCCAGAAATGGAAATTTACTTATAATGTAACATTTTATCAATCAAGTAAACAAATTAGTAATCAAGTGAGGTGTCATTTCTCAAAACCTATGTTGAACTGTATATAGTTACTCTGTTGTTCTCTGTCACAAATTTTTCAAACATATTATTGATAATTTGCAAATGGTAGTAGCAAAAAAACCTTCTGTAGTAATATGCCTTGAGCTAGGAAACTGCAGAATAAACTGAAAGATTGTTTTAAACAGAATATCATTGACATTTTAATTTAATCCACAAACATTTGTTTAATGCTCATATTCTGGACTAAATGCTGATGGTGAGCATTAATCCAGGGCAAGTGACACTAGAGATGGTTGATGGAGTATGAGAAAAGAGCTGAGTTAGGACCCGCGATGTACAGGGTGGGGCAAAAGTAGATTTACAGTTGTGAGTATGCGAAACAGTTTATTGTTGTATTATTACTTATTGCACTATTTTCCATATGAAACTTGAATGCTATATGTTTGAGTTTGTTCATAGCATGAATTTGCTGTATACTTGTGATAAGAAAGGACTTACTTTATAATAAGTATTTGTAATCTGTCAGTTTTATACTATTATAAGGTTCTATTTCTATAGTCCTTATTTGAAAAACCTCAATTCTTTTTTTTTTATATCCTCACCCGAGGACATTTTTTTTCCATTTTTTGTTCAGATAGACTGGGAGGGGGAGAGAGAGAGAGAGCGAGAGAGAGAAACATCGACGTGAAAGGGACACATTGAGTGGCTGCCACCCGCACGACCGACCAACCAGGGCCAGGGACAGACTGCAACCGAGGTACATGCCCTTAGTGGGAACCGAACCCGGGTCTCTCTGGACCGTAGGCCGACACTCTAACCGCTGAGCCAAACCGGCCAGGGTGAAACACCTCAATTCTTTAGATAAATAAAAATAAACAATACTGAGGTTCATATTTATAAATTATAATTATTTCAAAACTTGTTTGAACTTTAAAATTGATAACTTAGTATTTTAGCTATAAAAGAATCTAAATAACAGTTTAGTTTATATAAAGAGCGTTACTTTTTCCCAGAAAGTTTAAGATATTTTTACCCCGTATCATTTAAGGTCAGCAAAGGAGGCAGAAGACAAAATAAAAAAGGCAATAGAAAAAGGAGAAACTCTTCCTACAGAGGCCAGATTTGATTCCAACTGTATTACACCAGGTAAATTCACTGAGAAAAAAATTCTAAGAGATTTAAAATGTAAATTTTAATTTTTTTCAAATGTAAATTTTTTTCCTAGCCTTTATTTTGTCCTTAGGATTCCATTTGCTTGTTTTTTTTCAATTGTTCGCCTCCTGAGATGATTTGCTAGCCTTGGTCATAAGTGCTCCTGTGAAGACCCACTATAGGGATTAACAAATGTTGATGAGAGCAACTATAGACTGGACTCTTCCAGCTTCACAGAATTTCAGACCAAAAAAAAAACTTGTTTTACTGATGCTGTTTATTTGTATGAAACAGACTCATTGAGGTTGTGGTTCATCCAGGTTCATGTAGCTAACTTGTGTTCCAAATAAGAAACCTATTCTCCTAGTCCAGAATGCTTACTACTCTACATCTCAAAAGCAGTTAAGACTTCTGTGACTTGTGTATAAATTAATATATCAGTATTATAAGTTTAATTTTATATGCAACAACATAATTTGTACTTCCTGGAGCTTTGTCTAACATTATCATCCTTTACTTTGAAAAAAAATTTTAAATCTTACTTTCTCATGAATTGTTCACTAACTCTAATATTTTTTTTCTTTAAGCACCCTAATCACACATTGCTTGATTTCATAACCAGTGTTATCCTGATTATGGTTTAAGACTGTATTGCTTTGGCTATTGACCATCTGGGCTCTTCATAAAATATAATCATGTAGATTTCCAGATTAACAAGAATTTTCCAGGTTAACGGTAGTAATAATAATAGTTGCCTTTGTTGTTGTTATTATTAGCAATCTGATTGAAGTTGCGTGCCTTACAAAAACCCTTCAGAATCCAGCAGAGGAAATAGAAGACTGGGGTGTATTAGAAAGTTAAAGCTCTGCTCTTGTGTGAAAGTCTTTGAAGCATAGTCTTAAGGCAGTAGTAACATTTCTTGACTTGCCCTTGTGACGTTAACTTCATTTAAGGGTAACCAGTGAGATTAGAAACAGTTGTGATATTTGCTAGGGAAAGGTACATTACTTGCTTTTCTAGATAAGAAAGAAGCTTTGACCTCCTTTGGAGATCTTAAATCTAGCTATTCCTAGACACCAAGATGCAGTTTCATGTTGTCACTGGGAACTCACTGTTTTCATGTCTCTCTCAGATTAAACTTTTTGTAAAACTTTATTTGTAGGGACTGAATTCATGGCCAGGTTACATGAACATCTGAAGTATTTTGTAAATATGAAAATTTCTACAGACAAGTCATGGCAAGGAGTTACCATCTATTTCTCAGGCCATGAGGTTATTATCTTATTTTTTAAAGAGTTTTTAAAATGTAATTTCTAATGCATATCATATTACCAAAGTTTTTTAAACATTATATTTAGACTCCTGGAGAAGGAGAGCATAAAATCATGGAATTTATCAGATCGGAGAAAGCAAAACCAGATCATGATCCAAACACCAGACACTGTCTTTATGGTTTAGATGCTGACTTGGTAAGTATAATGTTTGTTGTTGTTATAACTTTATGCCATTGTAGTTAAATATCTGAGATACCTAGTCTTTAAGAAGCTTTCTGGCTATAGAAACATATTGGAGACATAATAGTGATTGCCACTGATGCCATTACAAAAACAATGGGAAAATTAGTTTCTTTGCCATGTATGATGACTAACAGGTTTCTCTATAGTTAGTGTTCACACCTGACTGACCCTGATGCTATGAATGACCTGCTGAAGTCAGGATAGAGAGCCCTTTTTACCCTCATGTTTTATACATAACTTTTCTTTTTAATTTTTTTTTCTTTATTGATTTTAGAGAGAGAAGAAGGGAGAGGAAGAGAGAGATGGAAACATCAATGAAAGAGAACATCAATTGGCCGCCTCCTGCATGCCCCTCACTGGGGATTCAGCCCACAGTGTGGGCATGTGTCATGACCGGGCACTGAACCGGCAACCTCTTGGTGCATGGGTTGACACTCAACCACTGAGCCACACCAGCTGGACTATATATAACTTTTTTTTTTTTTATCCTCACCCGAGGACATTTTTCCATTTTTTGTTCAGGTAGAGTGGGAGGGAGAGAGAGGAACAGAGAGAGAGAGAAACATCGATGTGAAGGGACACATCGAGTGGCTGCCACCCGCACAACCAACCAGGGCCGGGGACAAACTGCAACCGAGGTACGTGCCCTTAGTGGGAACCGAACCCGGGTCTCTCAGGACTGCAGGCCGACGCTCTAACCGCTGAACCAAACCGGCCAGGGCTATATATAACTTTTAATATTACCTGGTTTGATAACTCCATGACCCAAGTAACTTTACTAGATGTCTTTTAACTATTTATTGTGGAAATTTTCAAACATAAACAAAAGTAGAGAAGATAGTATAATGGACCTACTTATGTCCTTTATGTACCTTAAATAATTTTCATCCCCTATCCCTACCCATCTGTCTCCATTCTCTTACTTTTCTTAAAGCATATCCCAGACCTTGTATCATTTACTCTATTAAGTATTTCATAATGTTTATCTAAAGTTTTTTTTAAAAAAACAAAATGCCATTATCTCACATAAAACCAAAATTAATCAGTGTTTAATATATAAATAACCATTTAGTTTTCTAATTTTCCTGGTTGCTTCATAATGTTTCATTTTGTTTGAATCAGTACTGAAATAAAATAAACAATATACATTGCAATTGGTTGATATATCTCACTAGATTACTTAACTTACTTTGGGAATAGAATACTAAGTGAGAAAATTAAATGAAAATGCCCTTCTCCAGTGTTTTCTGAGTTTTCACATGCTAGAGGTATCCTGACCTACAGAAGAGTCCTAGTTTCTGTTATTGGAAAAGCTGCTGCCTCTAATTTCTTACCCATTCCTCCCTGGCAAGTGGGAAGGTGTGAAAACCAAGAGAAGGTTTTTGGAATTTATTTTTGTTGGGGTAGGTAGAGTGAGCGTCTAAGGTTATGTAGGTGTAAACATTTTTTTCTTAGATAAGCACATTCACTTTACCCCATTCATTACCTATAAATGGATCATATTTTGATATTTCTATATTTAATGCGATAACAAGTTATTTCATTTTTCTTAAATACTCATGTTCTTCTCTATATAGAAATATTTTTATTTAATTGCTTTTGTGAACTGAATACTATAAAAAGTGAGAGAATAAAAACATTTCTTACTCGTTTTTCAACAGATTATGCTTGGATTAACAAGTCATGAGGCACATTTCTCTCTTTTAAGAGAAGAGGTTCGGTTTGGTGGCAAAAAGACCCAAAGGTAAATCATACTGCTTATATGTTGGAAGGAAAAACAGAAATTAAATTAAGAATAGTAATCCCGTAAAAGACTAAAATGTAAGTCATGAAACCATAAAGATTCTAGAAGAAAAGGTAGGCAGCAAAATCTCAGACATCACACATAATTTTCACATCACAGAATTTTCACCGATACATTGCCTAGGGCAACAGAAACAAAGGAAAAATTAATAAATGAGACTTCATCAAACTAAAAAGCTTCTGCACACCAAAAGAAACCAGCATCAAAATTAAAAGGGAACCCACTCTTTGGGAGAACATATTTGCCAAAGATACATTGGATAAGGGGTTAATATCCAAAAATATATAAAGTACTCATACAGCTCAACAAAAGAAAGACAAACAATCCAATTGAAAAATGGGCAGAGGCCCAGCTGGTGTGGCTCAGTGGTTGAGTGTCTACCCATGCACCACGAGGTCACCGGTTCGATTCCCAGTCAGGGCACATGCCCAGGTTGTGGGCCCGATCCCCAGTGGAGGGGCATGCAGGAGGCAGCCAGTCAATGTTCTCTCTCATGGATGTTTCTTTCTCTCCCTTTCCCTCTCCCTTCCTCTCTCTCTCTCTCAAACCAATAAAGAAAAAAAAAGGGGGGGGGGGCAGAGAACCTGAATAGACACCTCTCCAAACAGGACATACAGATGGCCCAGAGACATATGAAAAAATGCTCAATGTTACTAATCATTAGAGATGCAAATTAAAACGACTGAGGTATCACCTCACACCTGCCATAATGGCTGCCATCAACAAATCATCAAACGACAAGTGCTGGCAAGGATGTGGAGAAAAGGGTACCCTAACACTGCTGCAGCCACTGTGGAAAACAATATGGTATTTCCTCAAAAAATTAAAAATGGAACTGTCATTTGACCCCTGTGATCTGACTTCTTGGGATATATCCTAAGTAGCCTGAAACATTAGTCAGGAAAAATATATGCATCCCTATGTTCACAACAGTGCTATTTACAATAGCTAAGATTTGGAAACAGCCCAAGTGTCCTTCAGTAGACAAGTGGTTAAAAAGGCTAGGGTAGCCTAGCTGGTTTTGCTCAGCGGTTAGAGCGTCGGCCTATAGTCTAGAGAGACCCGGGTTCGGTTCCCGCTGGGGGCACGTGCCTCAGTTGCAGTTTGTCCCCAGCCCTGGTTGGGTCGTGCGGGCGGCGGCCACTCGATGTGTCCCTTTCACGTCGATGTTTCTCCCTCTATCTCTCTTCCTCTTTCTTCCTCCCACTTTATCTGAACAAAAAAATGGAAAAATGTCCTTGGGTAAGGATTTAAAAAAAAAAAGGCTGGGGTACAATTTACACGATGGAATACTATGCAGTTGTTAGAAAGATCTCTTATCCTTTGAGATGACGTGGAAGGGTGTATTATGCTAAGTGAAATAAACCAGTCAGACAAAGACAAGTACCACATGATCTCACTTATTTATGGAATATAATGAACAAAATAAGCTGACGATCAAAATAGATCTAGAGACATGGAAGTAGGGAACAGACTGACAAACTAGAGGTAAAGGAGGTGGGGGAATGTGGTGGGAGGAGATAAACCAAAGAACTTGCATATATGCATAACCAATGGACACAGACAATAATATGGGGAAAACATGGGGGTTAAAAGGGAGAACATCTGCAATACTCTCAACAATTAAGATAAAAGACAAAAAAAGAATAGCAATCCCAAAACAAATATTTTTTCCCATTCTGTGGGTTGCCTTTTCACTCTGTTGGTAGTCATTTGATACACAAAATTTTTTATTGTGATGAAATCCAATCTAGTTTTTTTGTTTGTTTTCTGTATCTTTAGTGTGACATCCATGAAATCACTGACAAATACAGCGTCATCAAGCTTTTTTCCATTTTGTTCTTAGAGTTTTATAGCTTTAGCTCTTACATTTAGGTCTTTGATCCATGTTGAATTAACTTTTGTATATGGTATAAGGTAAGGGTCCATCTTCATTCTTATGCATGTGGCTATTCAGTTTTCCCACCACCACTTGTGGAAAAGATTGTTTCCCCATTGAGTGGTCTTGGCATTCTGGTTGAAAATTACTTGACTGTGTCTGGAAGGGTTTATTTCTGGATTCTATAGTCTGTTCCACTGATCTTTATGCCAGTACCCTACAATATTTTGATCATTGTAGCTTTGACATCAGAGAGGGTGAGAGCTCCAACTTTGTTCTTCTTTTTCAGGATTATTTTGATTATTTGGGTGTCTCCTGAGATGAACAATTTTTTTTTCTTTTAATCCTCACCAGAGGACATTTTTCTATTCTTTGTTCAGACAGAGTGGGAGGGAGGAAGAGAGAGAGAAACATCGATGTGAAAGGGACACATCGAGTGGCCATCTCCCACCTCCCAACCAGGGTAGGGGACACACACCACCGAGGCACGTGCCCCCAGTGGTAAACGAACCTGGGACTCTTAGGACCGCAGGCTGACGCTCTAACCGCTGAGCCAAACTGGCCAGGGCAAGATGAACAATTTTTAAAAAACTTTTTTTTCTTTTTATTGATTTTTAGAGAGACGAAGGGACAGGGAGAGAGAGAAAGAAATATTGATGAGCAAAATCATCTATTGGCCGTCTCCTGCATGCCCCCCACTGGGGATTTGGCCCACAACTTGAGCCTGTGCCCTGACTGGGAATCAAACTGGTGACCTCTTGGTGCATATAGGTCATTGCTCAACCATTAAGCCACACCAGCTGGGTGAGATGAACAATTTTTAAGATGGATTTTTTTATTTTTGTAAAAAGAATCCTTGGAATTTTATTAGGGATGGCAATGAATCTGTTGATCCTTTTGAGTAGTTATATCTTAATATTAAGTCTTCCAGTTCATTAACATAAGGTGTCTGCTTTAATTTCCAGCTACATTTTTTAGTTTCAGTGTACAAGTATTTTGCCTCCTTTTATTTAAAAAAAACACACCCTGGCGGGTGTGGCTCAGTGGATTGAGCGCTGTCTCATGGACTGAGAGGTCCCAGTTCTATTCCTGGTCAGGGCACATGCCAGAGTTGTGGGCTCAGTCCCCAGTAGGGGGCATGCAGGAGGTAGATGATGGATGTTTCTCTCTCACATCAATATTTATCTCTCTCCCCCTTTCTCTCTAAAAAAAAAAATCAATAAAAACATTTAAAAAAAAATAGCCACCATTCTTGTACATTTATTTAAGCTATAGCTGGAATTTGTACATTTTGACCACCTGTGCTCATTTTTTCACTCCCCACCTCCACCTCCCCAATCTCTGGGCACCATCAGTCTGTTCTCTGTATCTCTGAGTTTGATTTTGCCTCTGTTTTGTTTTGTGTTTTCTTTTGCTTCCTTGGTCAAGTTTATTACTTAATGTTTTATTCTTTTGGGTGGTATTATAAGTGTAAATGTTTCCTAATTTCCTTTTTGGAATCTTTGTTACTGGTATGTAAAAACAACTGATTTTTGTGTTGATCTGCAGCTGTGCTGAATTTTTGTTTGTTTTTGCACTAGTATCTTTTTTGTGGATTCTATGGGATTTTTTTTTTTTTTTTTTTTTTATCCTCACCCGAGGATATTTTTCCATTTTTTGTACAGATAGAGTGGGAGGGAGAGAAAGGAAGGGAGAGAGAGAGAGAGAAACATCGATGTGAAGGGACACATCGAGTGGCTGCCACCCACACGACCGACCAGGGCCGGGGACAAACTGCAACCGAGGTACGCGCCCTTAGCGGGAACCGAACCCGGGTCTCTCCAGACCGCAGGCCGACGCTCTAACCGCTGAGCCAAACTGGCCAGGGCTCTATGGGATTTTTAATGTATAGAATTATGTCATCTGTAAATAGAGATAGTTTTATTTCTTTTTTTCCAGTTAGATGCCTTTTATTTGTTTTCTTGCCTAAGTACTCTGGCTTGGACTCCCAGAATAATAATGTTGGATAGCTACAGTGAAAATGGGAATTTGTCTTGTTCGTGATCTTAGAAAGAAAGCTTCAGACCATTGAGTTTGATGTTAGCTATGGGTTTTCAGTAAGTTTCCTTTACCATATTAAGGAAATTTTCTTCTATTCCTGCTTTGCTGACTATCTTTATACGAAAGGATGTTGAATTTTGACAGTTTTTTTTTTTTTTTTTGCTAAATGATTGTGTGGTGGTTTTTTCTTTATTTATTAATGTGGTATAGTACATCAGCTTTTTGCATTCCTGGGATAAATCCTACTTGCTATTTGTATGTAATTCTTTTAATAGGCTATTGTTAGCTTGTAATCTTACTTGTAGTTGAATTTGGAGAATAGGCTACCAGCCAGAAATATAGACCTCTATACCAAGACAGGAAAAGATAAGAAGAAGTGATAGTGCCTCACCACTGAAGCCTTGGACTGTACTGCAGTTGATACAGAAGTATATGCTCACTTATTTTAATGCTGTTTGCTGGTGGACAGCCTTAAATGGGTCAGACCCCGTGGTTTTTTTGTTTTTGTTTTTGTTTTTTATATATCTATTATATATTATTTAGATTTTCTTAATTCTGAGTCCTTCCATAGAAAACATAATGTAAAACAATTATTTTGAACTTTATGCTATATATATTATATTACTCTGCAGCTTTTTTATAAATTACATATCTTGACTACAAGAATTAATTATCTTCTAATGATAAGTTTTATTTTAAGTACTGCTACATTTTTAAACTTGAACCTTAAAGATATAATTAAATAAATGTGTGTGTGTGTGTGTGTGTGTGTGTGTGTGTGTGTGTTTATAGTTAACTGTGTTGATCATCTGACTAATTACAGGGTATGCGCACCAGAAGAAACCACATTTCACCTTCTACACTTGTCTTTGATGAGAGAGTATATTGACTATGAGTTTTCAGTGTTAAAAGTAAGTAAGTATTTAATATAACTGTGGACCATAGTTGTGTATGCAGAAATTTTCATAGGACTTGACTGTTTTCTCCATTTTACTATAAGGACAAGATCCCATTTAAATATGATATTGAAAGGATAATAGATGATTGGATTTTGATGGGATTTCTTGTTGGCAATGATTTTATCCCTCATCTACCTCATTTACATATTAATCATGATGCACTGCCTCTTCTTTATGGAACATATATTACCATCCTACCAGAACTTGGGGGTAAGCAAAGTTTAATATTCATTTGTGGCTTTAATATTAATTTGTTTTAACTTAGCACTCAACCAGCTCTAAAAAATGTGACTCAATTCATTAGATTATAGCATGCACAGCTATAGTAGGAAAAACTGATGGCTTCTTTTGATCTAAGGCTCCAAGCTTTGAGATTATAGTTTTCAGTGGTTCATGAGAAAAAAAAAAAGACCAGAATTATGCAGCCTCATTTATCGATACCTAACTAATCTGTGCCTTTAATTGTATAAGAAACTCAGTAGAAGTTGTTGGTTTCACTTAGCTTCTTTAATATTTAAGAATAGAAATTCAGTTTTTCTGAATGGGTAAAGCATCAGAGTAATATGAGGGAAAGATTTTTCAATTAAAATAGGAAATTCACAAACAGTGGTGATGCTAAATAGAGCAACACAGTAGCAGGATATTAGTCCTTTTCTTCTCAAGGTAACATATCAAATGAACAATGTGGATACAATCTAGAACTTACTTTAGTTAACTGTTATCATGTGTTGGAAATGTGGGAGGATTATTTTTACTTGAACCTAGAATTTCTTATATTTTGCTTCAGTTGTTATTGTATATTATTGTAACAGCAAGTTCATAGAAACTAGAGCCAGTTATAGAGTTATAGAGTCCTACAATGAGTGTTTTTCTTTGATTTGTAGAATATCAGCATTCAACATTTTATAAAAAGAATTTTGTAGAATTGTATAGGAAAAAATGTCAGCATTTAGTGCAAATTTAGATTTTGTTCCTTTTAGGTTATATTAATGAAAGTGGGCATCTCAACTTACCTCGGTTTGAGAAATATCTTGTGAAATTATCAGATGTAAGTAACCAGAAGTTTTTTTCTTGTCCCAGCATAGCTATAAATAATCAGTGAACAATTACATGATACCAGAAGAAAACTTTTTTGTGATTCTAATCCTATTGGCCATTCTGTATAAATAATTTTACCTGGCCCTGGCCGGTTTGGCTCAGCAGCAGAGTGTCAGTCCGCAGACCAGTGAATCACAGGTTCAATTCTGGTCAAGGGCACATACCTCGATTGCAGTTCGTTTGCCCCTGTCCATGGCTGGGGTCATGCAGGAGGCAACCAATTGATGTGTCCCTCTCACATTGTTCTTTCTCTCTTCCTTTCTTTCCCTCTTTCTCCCTCCCACTCTGTCTGAAGATAAGTGGGAAAAAAAATATCCTCAGGTGAGGATAAAATAATAATAATAATAATTTTAATTGTTTTTATTTGCTTTTTATTTTTAATTTTCATAGTAGATGAGGTCCCCATGTGCATAAAAAAGTAATATTCTCTGATCTATGCCCTAGAAGTAGCCTGTGTTAAAAGTTTGGTTTTTATTCTTCCAGACACACTTAAATGATTTTTAAATGAATTTAAATATTTTGGTACAGTTTGATCGGGAGCACTTCAGTGAAGTTTTTGTAGACCTAAAGTGGTTTGAAAGCAAAGTTGGTAACAAGTACCTCAATGAAGCAGCAGGTGTGGCGGCAGAAGAAGCCAAGAACTACAAGGAAAAGAAAAAATCAAAGGTGTTTATTTTTTAAGGTGTCCTTTCACTTTTTATAGCTGTGAAGGTAAAACTGATATTCCTTGTTTCTCATTTTCTTTCTTAAGATTTTGGGATTGCTTCATTTCATTTTTATTTCTTCTTTTTGAACATTTAAAAAATTGTTTTGATTTCTCTTTCTCTGTTAGATCCTATAATTTAAATCTGATCTTTAAAAATGAATTCCTTATTTTTACTTGAGAACATTGTGTTTCCTTTGCTCTTCTATTCTTTAAAAATTGTAGAGAATATTTCTAAATATAAGCAGCCAGAAAATTAGTTATCTTTTTAAAATGTGGATATTTATAGCACTTAATGTTATGAGACATTAACTAGATGAGTGATTTTTCTGTAGAAATAACCTGTATATAAAATTATGTATATAATACAGCAATAGACCAGGTTAAGGGCAATTAATAGCATAATATCTCGTAAATTTTAGGTGCTCAAAAAATGAATAACAGAATTAGAATATGCTGGTACCCTGAAAATTATCTCTAATAAGGTCTAAAGAAAGCCTTATATGTGTTAACTTGGAAAATAAACCTGAAATTTTCCTCAGTTTATGTATAATTATTGGGTTCTTATGAAATTGATGAGTTTCCTGTGCTTTCCTTGTTATACTGGTTCTAATTAGGAATCTTGCTCCAGGAAGGGTAACTATCTTGATTTTTCTTCAGTAAAGTTCTTTTAATTGCTTAGGTTTCTCTTAGTGGAACTTAGTAGCAGTTAGTCTGCATTTTGCCTTGTTTTTTTTCTACAACTTTCTAGGAACCCGGACTAACAAACTTACATATCAGTCAGTCATCCCTGGCTCTGCCCACCTCAGCTCAGTTCTTAAACTCCACTAATCTTCCAGGCACATGTGGTTAACATTAGAGATACTGGTAAAATGAGAGGGGCTGGAGGGACATCCCAGGCATAGGGAGTTGGCAGAGGCCCTATTTTACCTGAAGAAAAGGAAATGATGGGGATAGGGAGTAGGAAGAACTAATGAGAGTCACTGACAGGAAGTAGATAGGCAATCAGAATATAGAGGAGAGAAAAGATGTGAAGTATGTGATGAGATGGAAGAGCTATAAAAAAGCAAATGAGTTGCACAGAAGAAAAAGAAGTAGGAGGTAGGTAATAGAGTCATAAGAATGATGGGATCCAGCCCTGGCCAGTTTGGCTCAGCGGTTAGAGCGTCGGCCTGTGGTCCTGAGAGACCCGGGTTCGGTTCCCGCTAAGGGCACGTACCTCGGTTGCAGTTTGTCCCCGGCCCTGGTCGGTTGTGCGGGTGGCAACCACTCGATGTGTCCCTTCACATCGATGTTTCTCTCTCTCTGTTCCTCTCTCTCTCTCTCCCACTCTACCTGAACAGAAAATGGAAAAATGTCCTCGGGTGAGGATAAAAACAAACAAACAAACAAAGAATGATGGGATCCAGAGATACAGAAAATAGGTGATATTTGTAATCATTGGATTCATCATAATCATATATATTGTGTTAACAGTAGCCCAGAGTGCGACACACAAAAATGTTAAAATTGACAAATTATAAAAAAATTTGATATTGATTATATATTTTTTTCTAAGTAAATGAAATACTTTTGAACTGTTTTTTTTCTTGGAACACATATATAATTAAATGTATTTCTCTTTCATATTTATGACAGTTACTTATTACATATTTTTAGAGTCCTGAATGTTAAGTTCTACATGTAAAGATGTATAGCTTTAGCCCTGGCCAGTTTGGCTCAGCGATTGAGCATCGGCCTGTGGACCAGAGAGTCCCGGGTTCGGTTTCTGCTAGGGGCACATACCACAAAAAAAAAAAAAAAGATGTATAGCTTTAGAAAACAAGTGATATAAAACCAAAAACGTTTACACAGTATTAGAGAATTATTATTAAAATAAACTTTTACAGTGTCACTTAATCATTCAGTTATTTTTAGTTTTTTTTTTTAATCTCCCTGTGAAATGTCTCACTTTGAAATGTATCTTGACATTAATTTCATATTGATTTATAATTTTTATAGGGCCAGGAAAACTCCATCTGTTGGGCTGGTTTAGATAAAAATAGAGAAGCAGTAACTTCTAAGGGTGAGTACAAACTATGCATTTTGATATGTTACATTTTGGACAGAATGGTTGTTATAGCTTTCTTTTATTAGTACTAATTCAGTAATATTGAATGGAGTAGATTTCTGTGATCACTTATAAGCTTCTGCTTTGATAAAATGTATTTATCAAAGCTTTAGGTGGGAAAACAGAATGTTCATAATTGTCAGCTACTGTGTTTCTGGCTTTTTTCCCAGATAATTTAGAAGATGAAACTGAAGATGATGACTTATTTGAAACTGAGTTTAGACAATATAAAAGAACATACTACATGACGAAGATGGGAGTTGACATAGTATCTGAGTACGTTTTTGCCAATGCTTATTATACTTTAAAGTAGAAACATAGATTTTGTAGTTCTTCATAAAACAGCATAATTTTGATAGTTAGCGTAGTGGGAAAGGATTTTTTGGTTTCATAAATTATTCTTGATCTTTCAACTGGTATGTTTTTGAGAAGGTAATATTAACTGATGTGTTAAATTCCTATGATAAAAATTGCCAAATAGCCCTGGCCTGTTTAGCTCAATGGTTAGAGCATCGTCCAGCAGAGCAAAACTTCGCAGGTTTAATTCTTGGACAAGGGCATGTACATGGGTTGCAGGTTTGATCTCCTGCCCCGGTTGAAGTTGTGCTGGAGGCAACCAATTGATGTGTCTCTCACATCGATGTTTCTCTATCTCTCCCTCCCTCCCTCCCTCCCTCCCTCCCACTCTATCTAAAAATTAATGGAAAAAATCTTCATGTAAGGATGGAAAAAAAAAATTGCCAAATAGAAAATGGTTAGTTTTTTGCTTCTATCTTCTAACACTCCCAGCACACTTTCCTCAGTGGGCACCTGGCTCAGCACTAGGTTAATGTCTACTCCAAAAGTGTCTTAACTTGATCTCTGGAATGGTGGCTTTCAAACTTTTAAACTGCAGCCCACAGTATGAATTACATATGACTGTCTTGTATTTACTTTAATTTACAGACACTTATAAAGTGTTTACCAAGTGCCAAACACTATTTTAAGCATTTTAAAAAATGTTAACTCATTTAATTCTCACAATAATCCTTTACGAAAAATAGAATTTTTATTACTTTACGATAGAGGAAATTAGGGAACAGAGATGTTTGTTTTTTTAATATGTTTTTATTGATTTCAGAGAGAGGAAGGTAAAGGGTGAGATAGAAACATTGATGAGAGCAAAACCTCGACTGGCTGCCTCTTTCACACCCCCGACAGAGGATCGAGCTCCCAACCTGGGCATGTGCCCTGACTGGGAGTTGAGCTGGCACCCTCCTAGTGCATGGGAAGATGTTCAGTCCACTGAGCCAAACCGGCTGGGCAGGAATGGAGAGGTTTAAGTGATTTGCTCAAGGTGACATAGATAGTGAGTGGCAGAGTCAAGATTTGAACACAGGCAGTCTGGCTTCAGAACTTATGCTGTTAACCACTAGATGAGACTACTTCTCTATTAGTAAAGTAAGAGTGTCATGGAATGCTGTGTACCCTTATTTATATGCAATATACCCAGATGTTTTTTATATTATTATTTTTACTGGGTTTTTTTTTTTTTTTAAATGTAATAAAGCACTAAATATTAGATCTTTTCTTGAATCTGCCCAAGGATAGACCCAAGTTTTCAGACATTGTTCTATATACTTTCAGGCTGACTTCTAGTCTAGACAGTCTTTCCGAAAGTGTCTGTATTCATACTGACCTCCAGTAACTAGAGATACAGGAATTCTAGTATAGTTTACCAGCTCATTTAAAGGTTTGTCAGGTGACATTAGCATGGAGGACTTTTTTTTAATCCTCACCCCCTCTATTTGTCTTCTGATAGAGTGGCAGGGAGGGAGATAGAGGGAGAGAGAGAAACATTGGTATGAGAGAGACACATCGATTGGTTTCCTCCCACGTGGCCCTGACCAGGGCCAGGAAGGAACCATAACTGAGGTAACCATAAGTGAGGTAAGTGCCCGAAATTGAACTCACAACTCTTTGGTCTATGGACCGACTTTCTAATCGTTGAGCCAAACTGGCCAGGGCTAGCATGGAGTACTTTTGAGACTTGAGAAATAAAATATTTATAGTAGTTATACTTTTAACCCTTTATTTTTTAATTCTTATTTTCTTGATTACAGTTATGTAGAATTATAGTACCTGCAGTTGGCACTAAATGCTTAATTTGATGGGTAACTAGTCTGGTTTTATTTCCCTTCTTTTTATATATTAAAATACAGACTTATGAAAATAAAGTACCATCTGCTTGCCTAACAAATAAACAAATCCTTTAAAATTGTTGTATTCATTACTGGTCCACGGTGGTGATAGGGTTCTTCCTTTAATTACTGGTGAGAATATAAAGTGGTAAAATTATTTTGGAAAGCACATATCCAGAAGAAGCCTTTAAAATATTTATCCCTTTGACCTAATAATTCTAATTGTTATTCAGTCTTAAAAATATAAACTGAAACACAGAAGATTTTTATGCACAAGGATGTTTATTACAAAGTTTTTTGTAATAGTGAAAAATTATAAGTTTACATTTCCAGTAAGAAGATTCATCATAATTGTCTCCAACTCCTCTTTCTCATAGTCACCATCTTTGCCATCTACGCCAGAATCTGCAGAATTGCTAATCTTGTAATTATAGAAAATCTATAACGATTTAGAGAGGTACTTATATTATTCATAAGTACAAGTTTTAAAAGCAAAACACACATACAACTTTATATAGTCAAACCTCAGTTCTTGGATGTCTCCCATCTCAAACAATTCATTTCTCGAACAAGTTGTTCACAGAAAAAATGTCTGGGTTGTCCTACCAAACTTTGGTTACAACAAAGGAGAGAATGCTTTTGTTGCTGGTGAAACCAAGGATTAGCACAATTTTAAAACAAAGAGTCCATCAAGAGGTCTAATGTTGTTACAGGTGTAAAAGAAACAATGATCACAGGCTATTGAAGAGGTAGAAAAACTGTTGTTGATTTGGATGAATGAAAAGCAGTTAGCAGTTACAGTATTTCACATTTCACAGGCATCGATATGTGAAAAGCAAAGATGCTATATGCTGATCTGAAGGACACTCTGGAACAAGTGCTGACAGTGATTAAAGGCTAGTTAGGGGGTTCCATAAATCTAAGAAAATAAGTATTTATTCACAGATTAAACAGTACATTAGACATGGACTGTATATAAGAAAGGTTGAAATGAAATCATTTTGTGTGTCTGGAACGGATTAATTCAATTTACATTATATTTTATTTTTTTTGGTACATGCCACTATCAGGAACCAAACCCGGGACTACATTATTATTTTTTAATATATTTTTATTTTATTTTTTAAAAATGTTTTACTGATTTTTTTTTTCTTTTTAGAGAGAGAGGAAGGGAAAGAGATAAACATTGATGTGAGAAACATCGGTCGGCTGTCTCCTGCATGCCCTGTACTGGAGATGGAGCCCGCAACTTGGGCGTGTGCCCTGACTGGCAATCGAGTCGGGACCTCTCAGTCCATGGGACCATGCTCAGTCCACTGAGCCACACTGGCCAGGCTATTTTATTGATTTTAGAGAGAAAGGAAGGGAGATGGACAGAGAGATAGAAACATCTTTTGGCTGCCTCTTGCCCCCCCCCCCCCCCCCAGTGGGGATAGAGCCTACAACCTGGGCATGTGTCCTGACTGGGAATCAACCAGTGACCTCCTGGTGTATGGGACAGTACTCAACCAACTGAGCCACACCAGCCAGGCCAACCATTTTTACCTTATTTGTAATGGGAAAAAAATGATTCAGTTTTCAAACAAATCTCTTCTCAAACAGCCTTCCAGAATGAATTAAGTTCCAAATTTGAGGTTCCACTGTGTGTGTGTGTGTGTGTGTGTGTGTGTGTGTGTGTGTGTGTATCTCATTTTTAAAAAAAACGAGCCCAGCCAGTGTGGCTCAGTGGTTGATTGTCGACTCAGTTTTCAAACAAATCACTTCTCAAACAGCCTTCCAGAATGAATTAAGTTCCAACATCGAGGTTCCAGTGTGTGTGTGTGTGTGTGTGTGTGTGTGTGTATCATTTTTTAAAAAAACAAGCCCAGCCAGTGTGTCTCAGTGGTTGATTGTCGACTCATGTACAAAGAGGTTGCCAGTTCGATTCCCAGTCAGGGCATATGCCCAGGTTGTGGGCCAAGTCCCCAGTAGTGGGATGGAGGAGACAGCCATCGATGTTCTCAGGGATGTTTCTGTCTCTCTCTCCCTCTCCCTCTCCCTTCCTCTCTCTCTAAAAATCAATAAAGAAAAGTTAAAAAAAAAAAAACCTAGGCATATATAAAAGACTGAAAAACACCAGAATGTAATAGAGATTGCTATAAGGTGATAAAAAAAAATGCTTTTCTTTATTATCTAGATTTTCAGTAATGAGAAAATATTCATTTTATAATGAAAAAGTAATACATTTCATGTTCAAGAGTATAACTCCCTGAAAAATGGAAAACTGGGATATTTAAGTACATCTCTACCTGAATTTTGGTAATAGACACTAACAAATTTATAGCTTTAGCCTAGGGCTCTTTTGGTTTTTTTCTGGTCAAGCTTTATTTTACCTTAAATGATAGTTTTTGAGAAGAAGGGAATGGAGAGAACATTGTCAGTGGATACAGCACTTTTCGAAGTGTGTTCTAGCTGCTATAACCAGATTTGAAGATCTTTCCAATTTTATTCCTGTGGTTCTCTCAGGCATCCTCCCACAGGAAGAAAATTCCCATCTCTGTCCCTCAAAGCACCCTATTTAAGGGAGTGATAGTAACCATTTATTTTTTTTTAATCTTCACCCAAGGATATTTTTCTATTTATCTTCAGATAAAGTGGCAGGGAGAGAGAGAGAAATAGCGACATGAGAGGGACACATCGACTGGTTGCCTCCTGCAACAACCTTGACCAGGGTCGGGCACAAACTACAAATGGAAACAAACCAGCGACTCTTTGTTCCGTCGGCCACCGCTCTATCACTCAGCCAAACCAGCCAGGGCGGTAGTAACACTTTATAGAAAGCTGCATTGGCTAAATCCTCAATAAAGCATAGTACGTTGACTGAACGAGTATGCACAGCAGGCTTAAATATTCTGGTATTTGGTTTAGGAAAAATATAAGGCAAACTTGAATCTGACAGGATGGACTTTTTTTAAATTAAGGTTTTGGAGTTTTTCTGATGATAATGATTTAGCTTATTCATTGATTAAATAAAACATATTGAGGTAGAGCATGGTATCAGCAGATATCATGTTCTAGAGACAATAGCCTGTCTTTGAAACAATGTTATAATGAAAATATTGTTTTCTGTTTCCAGTGACTTTCTGGCTGATCAAGCTGCATGTTATATTCAGGCAATACAGTGGATTTTACACTATTACTATCATGGAGTTCAGTCCTGGAGCTGGTGAGGAAACACAAAAACAAATATTTGGGTTTTTTTTTTATAATGGTTCATTCTACTGTAGTCTCATTTGGGGATTTCTTCTTTTATTTCTATTTTTGGTGGTATTTTTTAAAAGGAACATATAACCAATCTCTTACAAATACAGGTAATCTTTTCTTATCTAAAAATACTTTAAAATGACCTTGTATAACAAAGATACTTTCAGCCCTGGCAGGTGGTCCAAAATAAAAGCTCTTTGTTAATCTAAGAATTTAAAATTTTCTATCATGATGAATCAAGACTGTCAAAGTCTTTATGATTATTGGGTCTGAGTAATTTTTTGTGGCATTATTCATTGTTCTTTTCCACATTTTGTGTGTGTGAGAAATTTTTTCTATCAGGAATAATTATTGAGGAATGGGTTATTTGAATGTTAGACTGGAAAGTGTAAAGAAGAAAGGATAAATAAATTGTTTGATTTTCCTGGAAATAGTAATAATTTATTTTTCTCATGCTTTCTAGTCCAGCAAGTACCATCTACAATTTCAAACCATCCACCCAAACAGAAAAATAGCAAACCAGAAAATGTTGCAGGGAAAAGTAGAGACTTTTGATGAAGTAGCATGTTTTGTTTTGTTTTCAGAGTACCTCTGCTAGGCTTTATTTGAATGCACCACTTAATAAAACAAACCAAAGCAGGATAATGTGACATTAATTATGGTTTCACTTACTGACAGCCTTTAAAAAATTCTTTCCAATAACTAAACTTGATTCTCAGGACCTCTTTGAAGAGTGTTCTAATGACAAAGTCTTTGATTTGTCATTTTTTAAGAGGGTGAGTACAAGTTATTTTTGTTATACTACAGGCATTAAGGCCTAGCACTTAAAAAGCATGTTCTCACATAATCCTCACAACCTTTTAAATTTAAGTCTTGTTCTCTGCATTTTGCAAATGAGTCTCAAAGAGGTTAGATAATCTTTCCAAGGTCATATATACCACAAAGAATTAATTCCAAGCCTATCTGATTTCCAAGTCTATATGTACAATTTCCACTGTTCCACATGCCATTCTGCCTCATAAACCTTTCCATTCTTTGAAATATGCCATAATTGTGGAATATAAAAATATTATTTTTTGCCCGGCTGGTGTGGCTTAGTGGTTGAGCATCGACCCAGGCACCAAGAGGTCGCCGGTTCGATTCCCGATCAGGGCACATGCCCAGGTTGTGAGCCCGATCTCCAGTTGGGGGCATCCAGGAGGCGGCCAGTAGATGTTTCTCTCATCGATGTTTCTCTCTCCTTCTCCCTTCCTCTGTCTCTAAAATCTATAATGTTTAAAAAAATATGTATTTATTTTGGGGGGCATCATTAGTCAGACATTAATAGCATTGAACTTTTTAAAAACTTTTACATGCAAAGCTTTCTAAAAATATTTATGCCTGTAGTTAAAAGATAGGAAGGTATTAAAAACAAAAGTAGTTGTATGTTTGATAAATAGTTTAATCCTTATTACAAACATAATAATATATATACTAATTCAAATATAAAAGTTCTTAGAAATGACTAGTAAAAGCCATATGAGTTCAGATTCCCTGTTTTCTTTGCCCTTATGGCAGAGACCAGGCCCACATGAGCCTACTGAGAGTCTTCTGACTACCTCATTACTTCATTCTAAGAATCTATTTTTTAGAAGATTCGCACTAAACATTTAGGGAACTAAACCGTTATGAGATAGATAGATAGATAGATAGATAGATAGATAGATAGATAGATAGATAGATTCATTCTTCAGTTACATTGTACATACCAATTTTGGAAATGTGAAGCTGTACTTTAAAACTTAAGTAAATAGCCCTGGCTGGTTTGGCTCAGCAGTTAGAGCGTCGGCCTGTGGACCAGAGAGTCCCAGGTTCAGTTCCCGCTAAGGGCACGTACTTGGTTGCAGTTTGTCCCCGGCCCCAGTTGGGGACATGTGGGTGGCTACCAGTCGATGTCTCTCTCTCACATCGATGTTTCTCTGTCTCTCTTCCTCCCTCTATCCCTCCCACTCTACCTGAAGATAAATGCAAAACTGTCGGGTGAGGATAAAGAATAAATAAAATAAAAATTAAGTAAATATATCATTTGTTGCCATCATAAGACCTGTATTTTCTAAGACTACTGATTTCTCATATTCAAGTGGTAGAAGTAAGGGTGATAATTTTTTGATATAGAATTATTGTATGATATGAAATTAAGGAAACACATACTTAATATTGAACTGTTTCATAACATTGCCAATTGTTTAAGACTCAGTTTTGTTTTATAGGTATTATCCTTATCATTATGCACCTTTCTTATCTGATATCCGCAACATCAGTACACTCAAAATCTATTTTGAACTAGGAAAACCTTTCAAGCCATTTGAACAGCTTCTTGCTGTACTTCCAGCAGCTAGCAAAAATTTACTTCCTACATGCTACCAGGTGGGTTTTAGAAATAAATGTTTTTATGTTATTTTTAATATTTGGGAGCTCTTCCTCCAAACCTAGAAACATAGATCCCAAATTTCTTTAATAGCTAAATATATTTTTATTTTCAAATACAGTAGTTCTTAATTTCCTTGAAAAGTAATTCTGGTTTAAAGTTAGGTTTGGTTTTAAAATGCAAGCAAACTCTACAAACCATTCAGAATATAGCTTTTTCATTTTCAGCATCTTTATGCAAATCTTCAGTTTGTCTCTGCACTGAGACAGGAAAAAATCTTAAGCCATCTACTTTGTCCAAACATTGACAGATTTATTCCTGTTCTCTTTTACCTTCTACCTATTAGAATAAATATGGTTCTAATGAGTCATTTCTCAGCAGAAGTATCACTTCAGTTTATGTTTGAGTTTTATGCATTTCACTTATCAAATTGTGGAATGAAAGGCTTTTGTGTGTGTGTGTGTGTGTGTGTGTGTGTGTGTGTGTGGTTAATATAGTTTACATATTGGGGGAGATATTTAGGGGTGATTGAGTCATCAAAATTACACTAAGCCTATTCAGCTGATTCTGAGGGTTAAATTCATTTACTTCTTCTAGAGCAGTGGTTCTCAACCTGTGGTTCACGACCCCTTTGGAGGTCAAATGACCCTTTCACAGGGGTCGCCTAAGACATAACAGTAGCAAAATCACAGTTATGAAGTAGCAGTGAAAATAATTTTATGGTTGGGGGTCACTACAACATGAGGAACTGTATTAAAGGGTCACAGCATTAGGAAGGTTGAGAACCACTGTTCTAGAGTATCAATCTGTTCTTATTCCATGGTCTGGTACCAGGAACTAGAGTAGAGAGAGACACACACACATACACACACACACACGTTGCCTCTTGAACAGTGTCAGGCTCCTTCTGTATCTTTCTGAAACTTAATATGTCTCCCACACTGGCCCCATCTGGTCTCCCTTGCTTCTTAAGTTACTTTGATGATTTTTTCCTACCTTTAGATATATTAAGGATTGATACTCAATCACTCTGAAGCAGTACAACCATGCAAGTTTTACAGCCACATCTGCTTTTATTTTTATTCTGTGCCTATGGCTTACTGGTTATAATGAAATATGCTGTTTTATTTTCTTGGAAAATATCCTTATGCTTTTATTTTCTACCTGTTAGAAAATCTAATAAAAACATGTCTTATTGCACTTCTTATCTTTGCTACTAGTGATGAAGAGATTCTTGGATATTAAGATTTTTTTCTTTTTATATTATCTTATAATAAAAACAAGTTTTATTGGACTTTTTGCTATTTTTGATGAAGAGATTCTTGGATTTTAGGAGTTTTTTTAAATTATTGTAGATGACAGTTTTTATATTACTTAATAAAATCAATTGATTAGGGCATGAAAGTAAATTACTTAATTTAAGGTTGAAAGTAGAGGACTATTAAGCAACCTGTGAAATAAACTGAAGGTTGAATAGGAAAACAGAATTTAGGTGGACCTTATAGAGTCAAAAGACAAGATAGAATTGATGAAATTAAAATTCAGAGTACAGACAGTTTTGCCACATAACCACTGGAATGGGAAAGCATTGAGTAGCAAGTATATTGCAGCCTAAGATGTGAAAATTGCGTTTTATTTGCTTAGAAATTTTAAACTGTAACATTTGAGGAAATATTATAAATATATTAACAAAGCTATATTGATAGTTTTATATTTCTGTTATACTATTTTGTCTTTCCACAGCATTTGATGACCAGTGAGGATTCACCAATTATAGAATATTATCCACCTGATTTTAAAACTGACCTAAATGGGAAACAACAGGAATGGGAAGCTGTGGTACTAATACCTTTTATTGATGAGGTCAGTGCATGAAAGAGTTAAATATACATATATATTCTTAATCAGAGATTATTTTACATTAGTTAATGAGCCATGGGTTTAAATCACCATTTATGTTTTGTTAATGAGATTTAACTACTCTCTTTTTTGATTATGTGAATCAAAACTTCCAGGTATACTAATTATAAGAAAGCTGGAATGGCTTTACTAGTATTAGGAAAAGCAGTCTTCAGAACAAGGAGTATTACCAGAATCAAGAGGGATATTTCATACTTATTAAAAAGTCAAGTCAGTTCATCAAGAAGACATAGAAATTCTAAATGTATGTATAACCTGTAACAAAGCTTCAAATACATGAAGCAAAAATGTCAGAATTGAAAGGACAAACCACAATTATAGTTGGAAATTTCAACACTTCTCTCTGAGGAATTGATAGAACAAGAAGACAGAAAATCAGTAAGGATAAGACAACATTATAAACCTATTCAACCTCATTAATATTTATAGAACACTACACTCAGCAATTGCAGAAAAATTATTCTTTTTTACGTGAATAAGGAACATTCACCAAGATTATGTGCTGAGATATAAAACATGTTTCTGTAAATTTTAAAAGGGTTGAAATCATAGAGGTTCTCTGACCACATGGAATTAAATTAAAAATCAATACAAATATCTGGAAGATGTGCAAACATTTTCAAATTAAATAACACACTTCTAAATAACCCATGGATGAAAGAAGATATTAAAAGGGATAAATCGAAAATATTTTTATGTGAATGATAATGAAAACACAGCATGACATAATCTGTGTGATGACCTTGAAGAAGCGTTTAAAGGGAGATTTAGGTTCCAAATGTGTATTATACTAAATAAGAAAAGAAATTAAAATTAGTTATGTGAGCTTCCTACCATAAGAAGCTAGAGAAACACAGCAAATTAAACCCAAACTACACAGAATGAAGGAAGTAATAAAGATAGGGACAGCAGTCCATGGAAAATTAATGAACAATAGAAAAACATGAATGAGACCAAAAGTTGCTAGTTGGACTTTTTTTTAAAATCCTCACCAGAGGATATTTTCCAATTGATTTTTAGATAGAGTGGAAGTGAGAGAGAGAAAAAGAAACATCTATTTGAGAGAGACACATTGATTGGTTGCCTCTTGCATTACCTTTACCAGAGCAGGGAATTAACCTGCAACCCAGGTATTTGCTCTTAACCAAGAATCAGAACCTGCAACTCTTCCGTCGTTAGGTCGATGCTTTAACCACTGAGCCAAAATGGCCAGGGCATGTTTTTTGAAAAAATATTTTTATTGATTTTTTTTTTTTTTTTTAGATGGAGAGAGAGAAACACGGATGAGATAACATCAGTTGGCTGCCTCTTACCACGTCCCTTAGTGGGGGTTGAGCCCACAACCCGCGCATGTGCCCCAACTGGGAATTGAAGTGGTGCCCTCTCCATGCATGGGATGATGCTCAATCCACTAACCACAGTGCCGGGCTCTATATAATATTTTTGAAGTGACAAAATTATTGTAATATAAAACAGTGATGATTGCAAGGTGTTAGAGTTAGGAATAGGATATTATTATAAAGGGGTAACAGTTTCTTTATGATGATGTAACAGTTCTGTATTCCAGTTTGCGTAGTTGTTACATGAATCTATATATGAGATAAACATTCCATAGCACTGTACATACACATACATGCAAATCACATAAAATCTAGTGAAATCTGAATGTCTATAGTTTGGTTAATAGTATTTTACTAATGTCAGTGGCCTGGTTTTTATAATGTACTTGTGTCCATTTGTAAAAAAGGAGAAAGCTGAGTGAAAGGCACATGGGAATGCTGTGGGTTAATTTTGCAACTTACTGTGAATCTTTGTGTTTACTGCCACTGTACACAGTGATATGATTAAGCACTTATGTATTTATGTATTCTTTTGATTTATTTGTTCATTTATTCATTGTTATAAAAATTTTCATAACGTAAAATTCCAAAAGTGGGTTTTTTGGATAATGGAAATATATAGTTTTAGTTTTAATGAATATTACCAAATTCTTTTTCAAGATAACTGGTCTAATTCACACCAAACAATATTTTAGTACCCACTTCTCAGCTTCTCCAGTTTTCAATACCACGGCTTTATTTATTTTTTATTTTTTAAATATGTTTTTATTGATTTTTTAGAAAGAGAGTAAGGAAGAGAGACAAAAACGTCAATGTGAAAGAGAAACATTGATTAGCTGCCTTCTGCGTGCCCCCTACTGGGGATCAAGCAGGCATCCTGGGCATGTGCCCTGACCAGGAATCAAACCAGGACCTGTCAGTTAATGGGATGATGTTCCAATCATTGAGCCATGCCAGCTGGGCACTATTGTTTTACTTAATTTTGGCCAATATATTGATGACAAAGAATATCATTTCATTATTATCCAATTTTTTTTTCCCTGACCCCTAATTTGAGAGAGAGAGAGAGTGTGTGTGTACACACATATATATTTGTTTTTTTTCTTTATTTTATTTTTCCATCACCATTTATCTCCCTTATACCCTTTACCACCTCCACCCCTGCAATCACTAGATTGTTGTCCTTGTCCATGAATTCTTTCTCTTTCCTTTTTGCTTAATCCCTCCATCCAGCCCCACTCCCACCAGAGCTGTCTGTCTGTCCTCTATCTATACATCTCTCTATTTTGCTTGTTAGCTCACTTTGTTCATAAAATCCCACATATGAGTGAAACCATATGGTTTTGTCTTCTTTAACTGACTTATTTCACTTAGCATAATGTTCTCTCCAGGTCTATCCATGCTGTTGTAAAGGGTAAATTTTTTTTCTTTCTATAGCTATGTAGTATTCCACTGTGTAAATGTACCACAGCTGTTTTATCCACTCGTCTACTAATGGATACTTGGGCTACTTCCAGATCGCTACAATGAACATAAGGGTGCATATATTCTTTTGAATTAGTGTTTTGGATTTCTTCAGATAAATTCCAAGAAGTGGAATTATAAGGCAGTTCCATTTTCAATTTTTTTGAGGTATCTCCATACTGCTTTCCACAGTGGCTACACCAGTGTGCACTCTCACAGTGTGCAAGGGTTCCTTCCCTTTTCTCTACATCCTTGCCAATACTTGCCATTTGTGGATTTATTGCTGATTGCCATTCTGACAGGTGTAAGGTGATATCTCATTGTGCACTTCTCTGATAACTAGTGACAGTGAGCATCTTTTCACGTGTCTGTTGACCATCTGTATGTCCTCTTTGGAGAAGTGTCTTTTCAGGTCCTTTGCCCATTTTGTAATTGGATCATTTGTGGGGGGTTTTTGGTGTTGAGTTTTATAAGTTCTTTATAAGTTTTGGATATTAACCCCATACCAGATGTATCATTGGCAAGTAATATTCTCCCATTCCGTAGGTTGTCTTTTCATTTTGTTAGTTTCCTTTGCTATGCAAAAACTTTTTAGTTTGATGTAGTCCCATTTGTTAATTCATTCTTTTGTTTCCCTTGCCCAGGAAGATATAGCAGAAAAAATATTGCTGTGAGAAATGTTTGTGATTTTACTGCCTGTGTTTTCTTCTAGGATATTTATGGTTTCTACTTTAATCTGAGTTTATTCTTGTGCGTGGTTAAATAAGGTGGTCTAGTTTCATTTATTGACACATATCTGTCCAATTTTCCCAACACTATTTATTGACTAGACTGTCTTTAGCCCATTGTATGTTTTTGCCTCTTTTGTCAAATATTAATTGACTACAGAGGTGCAGGTTTATTTCTGGGCTCTCTATTCTGTTCCATTGATCTATATGTCTGTTTTTATGTTAGTACCAGGCTATTTTGATTACTGTGGCCTTGTAGTATAGTTTGATATCAAGATAGCAATTGCTATTAGGGTTTCTTTCTTTTCTTTTTTTCTTTATTGATTTTGGAGAGAGAGAAAGGGTGAAGGAGAGAGAGATAGAAACATCCATGAGCATGAACATTGATTGGCTGCTTCCTGCATGCCCCTCACTGGGGATTTGGCCCACAACCTGGGCATGTGCCCTGACTAGGAATCAAACCGGTGACCTCTTGGTGCGTGGGTCGACACTCAACCACTGAACCACACTGGCTGGGCTATTGCTATTATGGTTTCTTTGTGGTTCCGTACAAATTTTTGAAATACTTTTTTGGTTCTTTGAAATACGCCATTGGTATCTTGATAGGAATTGTGTTGAATCTCTAGATTTCTTTGGGTAGCATGGACATTTTAATTCTTCCTGTCCATGAACATGCTATATGCTTCAACTTATTTTAATCTTCTTCAATTTCTTTTTTCAGTGTCTTATAATTTTCCACATACAGGTCATATACATTCTTGGTTAAATTTATTCCTAGATATTTTATTCTTTTTGAAGCAATTGGTAATGGAATTGTTATTTTAGTATCTTTTTCTGATGGTTCATTATTGGTGTATAAAAATGCAACCAATTCCTGGATATTTATGTTGTTTCCTACTACTGTACTGAATTCATTTATCAGTTCTAGTAGTTTTTTGGTGGACTCTTTATGGTTCTCGATATACAGTATCATGTCATCTGCAAATAATGACACTTTTACTTCTCTTTTCCAATTTGGATGCTGTTTATTTCTTCTTCTTGTCTGATTGCTGTGGCTAGAGCTTCCAGTACTATGTTGAATAAGAGTGGTGAAAGCAGACATCCCTGGCTTGTTCCTGATCCTAAAGGGAAAGCTTGTAGTTTTTGCCCATTGAGCATGATATTGGTTGTGGGCTTGTCATATATGGCCTTGATTGCGTTGTTATGTTCCCTTTATTCCCACTGTGCTGACAGTTTTTATCATAAATGATTGCTGGATTTTATCAGATGCTTTTTCTGCATCTATTGATATGATTCTGTGTTTTTTATTCTTCATTTTGTTTATGTAGTGGTTCACATGTATTGATTTGTGAATATTGTAGCAACCTTGCATACCCAGGATAAATCCCACTTGATCTTGGTATATGATCTTTTTAATATATTACTGAATCTAGTTTGCTAATATTTTTTGACAGCTTTAGCATCTATTTCATCAGGGATATTGGGCTATAATTTTTTTTTCTTTGTAGGTGCTTTATCTGCTTTTGGAATTATGAAAATGCAAGACTCGTCAAATGAGCTTGGGAGTGTTCTTTCCTCTTAAATTTTTGAAATAGTTTGAGAAGGATAGGTGTTAGTTCTTTGAATGTTTGGTACAATTCACCTGTAAAGCCATCCAGTCTCGGGCTTTTGTTTGTTGGGAGTTATTTTATTACTTTTTTACTTTCACTACTTGTGATCTGTTCATTCAGATTACCTGATTCTTCCTGATTTAGTTTTAGCATATTATGTTTCTTGGAATGTATCCATTTCTTCCAGATTGTCCAATTTCTTGGATTATAGTGGTTTGTACTATTTTCTTACAATCCTTTGTATTTCTTTGGTGTCAGTTGTTACTTCTCTTCTTTCATTTCTGATTTTATTTATTTAGATACTCTCTTTTTTCTTTGATGAGTCTGGTTAAAGATTTATCCTTGTTTATCTTTGTGAAGAACCTTGGTTTCTTTAGTCTTTTGAATTATTTTTTTAGATTCTATTTTATTTATTTCTACTCTGATCTTTATTGTTTCTTTTCTTCTACCTATACTGGGCTTTGTTTGTTTTTCTTTTTCAAGTTCCTTTAAGTGTAAAGTTAGATTGTTTATTTGAGCTTTTTCTTGTTTCTTGACATAGGTCTGTAATGCTATTAATTTCCCTCTTAGGACTGCTTTCCCTGTGTCCCACAGATTTGAGGTTGTGTTCTCTTTTTCATTTGTTACAAGGTATATTTTGACTTCTTCTTTGATCTCTGGGTTAACACTTTCATTTTTTAGTAGCATGTTTTCAAGTTTCATATTATTATGGTCAGAAGAGATGCTTGATATGATTTCAGTCTTCTTAAATGTATTGAGACTGGTTTTGTGTCCTAACATGTGGTATGTTAGAAAGTGATTCATGGACACTTAAAAGAGTATATATCTGCTGCTTTGGGGTGGAATGGTCTGAGATTATCAATTAAATCCATCTAAGCCAGTGTGTCATTTAAGGCCACTATCTGTTTGTTGATTTTCTCTCTGGAAGATCTATCCGTTGATGTCAGTGGGATGTTAAAATCTCCTATTATAACTGTATAACTGTCAATTTATGTCCATTAAGAATTGCTTTACATTTCAGGTGCTGCAAGGTTGAGTGCATAAATGTTTATAAGGATTATATCCTCTTGTTGGATTGTTCCTTTTATCATTATCTCTTTCCTTCTTGGTCTCTTACTATAGCCTTGGTTTTAAAGTCTATTTTGTGTGATATAAGTATTGCTACCTCAGCTTTTTTCCTTTCCATGTGCATGAAATATCTTTTTCCATCCTTTTACTTTTAGTCTGTGTGTATCATTTATTTGGAAGTGGGTCTCTTGAAGACAGCATGTACATGGGGTCTTATGTTTTTACCTTATGACTTTTGATTGGAGCATTTAAGCCATTTACATTTAAAGTGATTATTGACAAGTATATATTTATTGCTATTGAGAAAAAAATTTTTTTAATAATTTATTTTAGAGAGTGAGGAAGGGAGAAGGAAAGAGAGATAGAAACATCAGTGAGCGAGAACATTGATTGGCCACCTCCTCTATGACCCTCACTGGGGATTTGGCCCACAACCTGGGCATGTACCCTAACCAGGAATCGAACCAGTGACCTCTTGGTGCATGGGTCAGTGCTCAACCTCTGAGCCCCACCAACTAGGCACTAGTTTATTTTTTTAACTATATTCCTCTGCTTTTGTTGTTGTTGTTGTTCTTCCTTTTCTTTTTCATCCTCTTTCTTCTTCTTCCTTCCTCTTCCCTCCTCCTCTTTCCTCCTTCTTCTTGGTAACAATCTCCTTTAGCTTTATCTTGTCTGGGAAACTCTATTTCTCCTTCCATTTTCAATAATAGCCTTGCTGGGTAAAGCAGCCTTAGTTGTCCTTGCTTTTCATCACTTTGAATATTTTATGCCGATCTCTTCTGGGTTGAAATATTTCTGTTGAGAAATAAGTTGACAGCCTTAAGAGTGCTGTAACGTCACACACTGCTTATAAACGGCTCTGGGTAACCTATTTGGAGCTATCTGTGATCCACAGCTTGTTGCTCCCTCTGCTGGGCCTTGGTGTGTGTATAAAGAACCAGGGTGTGCATCTAGGTCTGCTTTTGCTAGCACCAGGCTCAGAGGGAGGTCAGCAAAAGTCTCAAAGTACCCAGAGACCCACCTCTGCCTGCTCCCTCACAGTCAAAGAGCCTCCTGCTGTAGTGCTCAGCAGGGCATGAGCTTCACAGGGTGGGGCGAGAGGGATTCCAGTGGGTAGAGCTATTGCTTATTCTCAGGCTGATACTTCATGGAGGGGAAGGCTCTGCCTGAGAAAGGTGACTTCTGTAGTGTGGGCCAGTGACTCAGCACAGGTATTCTGTCGGATAGCATCTCAGCTCTCTCCCCAGAGCTACCAACCCCAGATTCCCCTCATGCACTCTAGTCTGCTCTGCCCTACCTCCATTGGAGCCCAGGGTGAGTGGCTGTGAACGAAATTCTGTGCTTTGGCCATTTAAGAGGGTGCCTGCATTTGTCATCTTCTCTCCCTGGCAGACAAGCCCTGCTGCTTTTCACAACCAGATGTTAAATGGGCGCCTTTCCGAGGTCTTGTGCTCTGGGCTGGAGAGCCCAGTCTTGATGTGCTTCCTCTGTAAGTCCTCAGTTACAAGGCTTCTCTCCAGCTAGTCTTTAACTGTTTATTTAAGATTATTTTTCTAGCCCTGGCTGGTTTGGCTCAGCGGTTGGAGCGTCAGTCAGCGGACCAGAGAGTCCATCTTTCGGTTCCCGCTAGGGGCATGTACCAAAAAAAGAGAGATTATTTTTCTATACTTTAGTTGTAATTCCACTTTGGTCCTGGGAGGAGGTGAGTGTAGCTTCTACCTAGTTTGCTGCCATCTTGGATCTTGCATATATTTTTATGTGTTTTTTGCCCTTTGCACTTTTTTTTTTTTTTTTTATCCTCACCCGAGGACATTTTTCCATTTTTTGTTCAGGAAGAGTGGGAGGGAGAGAGAAACATCGATATGAAGGGACACATCGAGTGGTTGCCACCCACACAACCGACCAGGGCCGGGGACAAACTGCAACCGAGGTACATGTCCTTAGCGGGAACCAAACCTGGGTCTCTTAGGACCGCAGGCCGACACTCTAACCGCTGAGCCAAAACGGCCAGGGCTGCACTTTTTATATTGCATATTGTATGTTGCCTATTTATAATATTTCCTTCCTTTTCTTTTTTGATTTTTAGCACCTCTTTTTATATTAGAAATACTCTTCCCCAAGTGTGGCATTTGTTTCTTAATTTGTGTATGACATCTTCTGTTACATGTTTTCTTACTTAAAAATGTCTTTTCCCTTAAAACTGTTCAGGTTCTTTTCTGTCTTTTTTTGCATTTATCTTCAGATAGTGTGGGAGGGAGAGAGGAAGGAAGAGAGAGAGAGAAACATCGATGCGACATAGACACATTGACTGGTTGCCACCCACAGGACCCCAACCAGGGCTGGGGACAAACTGTAACCGAGGTACCTGCCCTTAGCAGGAACCGAACCCAGGACTCTCTGGTTGGCGGGCCATGCTCTAACTGCTGAGCCAAACTGGCCAGGGCTCTTTTTTTTTTTTTTTCTTTATTGACTTTTAGAGAGAGTAAGAGAGAGGGAGAGAGAGCTAGAAACATCAGGCCCACAACCCTGGACATATGCCCTGACCAGGTATCAAACTTGAAACCTCTTGGTGCATGGGTTGACACACAACCACTGAGCCACACCAGCTGGGCTCTTCTGTATTAAATAAGAGTTTATCACTTCAAATTATTAATACTCCTAGATTTTCTTTTAATACTTCTATTGTTTTATTACTCTGATTTTATTGTTACTCTGATGTTTTTTGTATATGGTATGAAATTGGGAAATGTGTGTGGTTTTTTTTACAGCTGGATAGCTAGTTATGATAACAACTTATTTGAATATTTGAATACTATTCTGTTTTTCTGGTGTATCATTCCCTTGTGGTATCACTACTAAAATGTTTTGATTACAGTAGCTTTATTAAAAATGATAGGATCAGGTAAGCAAGTCCCCAGTTACTTTTGAAGTTCACACATTTATTCTTCCATATGAACATTCACATCATTTTGTCCTTTAAAAATTTTTTATACCATTGCAGTTCTGATTGGAATGATGTTAAATGTAAGATAGTTTGGAAAGGTAAATATTTCTGTACCTTTGTAGAATTTGTAAAGTAAGAGATTAGTGCTGTATGAATTATGATAAATTATAATAATTTTGATAAGTTCACATTTAAAATCTGATTATCTGCTATTTTTATCCACACTTTAGTGACTACTGTTGGAGTAATAGGTTCAGAAGAATTTATAGAGGTGAAATTCTGACAGAATTCAAATACTTTGAAACAGTGAATAAATAGTACATTAGTTAAGGCTTTTGTTTTTCAGGAACACAGTTCTGTTTACTGAGTGAAAAGATTTATTCTGTATGTTGAAATTACGGAATATATAGTTTTAACCTTTCTTTTCAATCTTTACATTCAGAAGCGATTGTTGGAAGCCATGGAGACATGTAACCACTCCCTCAAAAAAGAAGAGAGGAGGAGAAACCAACATAGTGAGTGCTTAATGTGCTGGTATGATAGGGACACAGAGTTTACCTACCCTTCTCCATGGCCAGAGAAGTTCCCTGCTATAGAACGATGTTGTACAAGGTAAGTTACTTGGTAATTTTACAAAACTGTAAAAGAGCCCCTACCCCATACAAAGTAAAAGCTTTTGAATATCTCTAACAGTTATAGTCAGTTTATGAGCTACATCCAACTTGCCAAGGACCATACCATCTCTTCTCTCTCTCTCTCTCTCTCTCTTCTCTCTCTCTCTCCCTCTTTTTCACACACACACAATTGTTTATATCATTCTCTGATTCGGTGAGATTCTGCCTCTTTTTTTTTTTTAATTTCTTTTTCTTTATTGATTTTTAGAGATAGAGGAAGGGAGAGGGAGAGAGAGATAGAAACATCAATGAGAGAGAACATTGATTGGCTGCCTCCTGCATGCCTCCCACTGAGGATCAGGCCCACAACCTGAGCATGTGTCCCAACCAGCAACCTCTTGATGCATGAGTCGACGCTCAGCCACTGAGCCACACCGGCTGGGCAAATTCTGCCTCTTTCTTTCCATCATCTGTTGAGTCTCTTGTGTTGTTTTTTTGTTAATCCTCGTCCAAAGATATTTTTTTCCCATTGCTTTTTAGAGAGAATGGAAGGGAGGGGAGAAAGAGAGAGAGAGGACATCAGTGTGAGAGAGACACATTGATTGATTGCCTCCCACACACGCCCAGGCCAAGGATCAAACCTGTGACCCATGTATATGCTCTTGACTGGGAATTGAACCCACAGCGCTTTGGTGCATGAGCCCACTCTTAACCACTGAACCACAACAGCCAGGGCAAATTGTATTTTTAAGCATTTTCCTCCTGAGTGTATGTCTTTATTATTCCTCAAAAGAATGTGTGAATTTTTTGTTTCCACTGCCAGCATCCTCTCCCAACATTATGTGACATACTGTAACTTTCGCCCAGCCACCTAACTAGAAAGAAGAAAAGAAAGAAAAGAGCTTCTCTATTTTCTTCCCTCAAATCCACTTATTTATCTTCCTCATTTAAATGTATTCCTTGTTTTTTTCTCTTTTTTCTTCTTCCCTGCAAATATTCAGATGTATTCAGATAGTAATTGAGCTGCAGATAAAATGAATATCTCTCACTTTTAAAGCAAAGAGAAAGTGCATAGACATTGTAAAATGTTTATATTTCATTCTTGGTTTTGGAAGATGGGGGATAATGGAGATTTATGATATTCTTTATTTTTAAAATTATGTGTATATGTGGAGTTTTGTTTATGTATGGTCTGTGTGTATATACATATATATATAGGTATATATGTATATACACACATACATATACGTGTGTGTGTGTACATATATATAGTTTGTATATATATGTTTTCATTGAATGGGGAAAACTTTCATTCAGTAATCTATAGGCATGGTTGTGTCTGGACTAATAATAACAGTGAATCTGGGTTGTCCTGCTCTATATTTTCTTTGTTTGTAAGGATGAATTGTCATTGCCTTGTTTAAAAGCTAGGGTGACTCTTGCAAAATATTCAAGGGAATGCTGAAAAACTTTGACTGCTTATAATGTATGAGATTTAAATTAAATGCCTTTATTTATTTTTTAGGTATAAAATAATATCATTAGATGCTTGGCGTGTAGACATAAGCAAGAACAAAATAACCAGGGTTGACCAGAAGGCATTATATTTCTGTGGATTTCCTACTCTGAAACACATCAAACACAAAGTCAGTGGCTATTTAATTCAGAAATTTTTTTTTTAACTTTATTGTGTGTCAAGTGATTGTGGAGAAAGAATTAAAATTAAATTCCCTGAAATTTTTTAAAGTTTTTTTTGAAGAAAAGCGGAGTTCAAGTATTCCAGCAAAGCAGTCGTGGAGAAAATATGATGTTGGAAATCTTAGTGAATGCAGAATCAGATGAACTTGTAAGTATTTTCTTTATTATATATTAGATGGTTATTATACATAAAACTGTCCTAACTGCAGTGTGTTTACAAAATAAGTATAGTGTAGTAACTCCACAAGTTCACAGTAAATAAGGATAAAGTAAAGAAACATTTACACACAAAAAAGGACATGTATAATTGTGACATAATGGAAAAAAGTGTTCCAGGAACTTTGACAAGGACCTGAGCTGTGTGAGCTAAGTATAGACCTGGAGGTGAGAATAGGCTTTAAGATTTTTTTATTGAGTTTTAGAGAGAAAGGGAGAGGGAGAGAGTGAAAGGAACATCAATGTGAAAGCAACATCAATGCTTCTTGCATGCCCACTATGGGGATCAAGCCCACAATCCAGGTATGTGCCCTGACCAGGAATCAAACCAGCAACTTTTTGGTGCACAGAACAACCTACCACCAACTAACCAAACCAGCCAGGGCTCTTTTTTTTTTATCCTCACCCGAGGACATTTTTCCTTTTTTGTTCTGGTAGAGTGGGAGGGAGAGACAGGAACAGAGAGAGAGAAACATCGATGTGAAAGGGACACATCGAGTGGCTGCCACCCGCACGACCAACCAGGGCCGGGGACAAACTGCAACCGAGGTACATGCCCTTAGTGGGAACCGAAACTGGGCCTCTCGGGACCGCAGGTCGACGCTCTAACCGCTGAGCCAAACTGGCCAGGGCCAGGGCTCTTTTTTTAAACCATTTTGTATGTCTGAAAATTTTCTTAATACTTTTTCTTTTTTTAGAATAATTTGACGTATTTAAGGAGAAAGAATAGATAAAGCTGACTAAAACAGAGGACTTTGTATTGGGAAATAGTGGAAGATAAGATTGACAAAACAGATTAAAGCCAGATTATGTAGGACCTTGAATACCAGTCTAAGGAATTTGGACTTTTTTAAAAAAAAATGAGTGTTATCTTGAAATCGGTATTTTCTTAAAGATTAGTTTGGTGGCATTATAATAGACTAAGTTGCACAAAAGAGAAATGCAAGAAAATGGAAAAGTCTGCAAGTTCAGAGGTTGGTTGTAGAAGCATTAAGCAATAGAACAGAGATTTGTGGAAGTGGTAATAGATCCTGATCAGTGATTTTCAACCTTTTTCATCTTGTAGCACATATAGACTAATTACTAAAATCCGGTGGCACAACAAAAAAATGTTACCTTTTTTGCCGATCAGACAAAAAAAATAGATGTCATTTTGATTCGTTCACACCAGACAGCTATTGTTGTTTTGGCTATTGTAATTTTTTATTTGACAATCGAAGGGTAAAGAGGTCAGTTATTGCGTGTTTTAAAGATTCTTATGGCACACCAGTTAAAAAGTGCCAATCTTAGATGAACAAGACTAAATAAAATTAATGTTTCATCAGTTATTCAAATCCAAGAGTTGAAAAGAGGAAGAAAATATTAAATATGACTCTCAGGATCTAGGCTAAAACTAGAAAAATAACTTCTGTTTATTGGAATAAAGAAGTTAAAATGGGAGAGTCCCTGATTTGGGAGGATTAATGATAAATAATGATGGAATTTTAAGGTGATGATAGGACTTTTAACTACAGCTGCCCAGCCAGCCTTTCTCAGCTAGTGTTCCACAGAGATTTGAGCCCTAATGTCCTTAGTCATCCGTTTGTATATAATGGGTTAACTTATCTTCTGTGCATTTAGAATGGTGTTCCTTATGTACCACCCTTGGGAAGATTGAGAAAATAGTCAAATTGTTTATACTATTCTGTGCTTTAGATGAAAAACCTCCACTGAGAAAGGCTGCTTGCACACAATTTAATGCCTGGAGCTAGAGTTTAGAGGGAGATAGGTATATATGGTCTTCAGCAAAGAGGTGACGGCAGAGGCCTTGAGGCTTATTTCCCTGAAGAAAAAGAGCTCTGAGAATTCAGTCTCAGGAAATACCCACAGTGATAAAGGGTGGAAAAGGAATGGAAAAAGTGACATAGTGTTCTGAGAGGTAAGAGAATGATCCCCAAATTAAGAAGGCTCAAAGAAGAATAGAGTGGATGCTGCATATAGTTCAAAAAGAATAAAAACTGAAACAGTCTGAATTTGTCCTTTAGGTATTATTGTTGGTTTTTTATAGTTCCAGTATAATAGATTGGTGAAAGTGAAGTTTAATTTCTAGAGATTAGTCTGGGGCCATGTAGAGGTAGCCAGCATTAAGCCCTTGGTTAAGAGTCTATCATTTAAAAGAAGGCTAGAAACAAAACTATACGTCGAGAAGAGGTAGCTCATTAGCAAAATTCACACAGAAGAGAGAGGTAAGGCTAGTGGAAAAAGGAGGTAGGTACTAAAAGTAGTCTAGAAGGGGTGATGAGGATTTTATCTAGGGCTTCAATGAAAGGATTAATCTGGGAAAGGAGAATAGCTTTTTCTTCAAAAACTAAAGGAAAGATAGGGAGAATGAAATTAGAAATACATGTATACGTAGAAGAGGAAAGAATAATTAATGGAACCTAGTTTTGATGTTAAAACTTGTTTTATTTATCCTTTTGCATGTTCACATTAAGTAATGTCTAGATATAATCAATAAAATTAAAAGTTACCACCAATAAGTCTAAAAAGTCATCTCTAATTGTTAAAGAAATATTTGCTAATAATGATTAAGTTTAATAAACAGAAAAAAACTGACGTGAAATTTGTATTTAAACTTCAGTTTCTACCACGAAGTTGTCTAACCAATAGTGATACAAAATTTTTAAAAACTAGGATTATTAATTAAATTTTATTTTATATGGAATATTTATACAGCATTTTATAATATACAAAAGCTTTATGTATATTATTTTACCCTCAAATAAACACTGTGAGGTAGATATTATTCCTTCTTATCATAAAAGAAAACTAGGCTCAGTGGGATTAAACGATTCACCCAAGATTTTATAGGTGAAAACAGGTAGAACCCAAATTTGGATCCAAATTTGGACCCTTAAAGAAAACTTTAAGGCTAGTGTTCTTTCTCTGTACCGCAGGCCGACGCTCCAACTGCTGAGCCAAACCGGCCAGGGCAAGGCTAGTGTTCTTAATTTCATTATACCAATCACAAAGTGAAAAGAAATCAGATTCCTTAGTTTCTGTTTTATACTATCTGACTATTTGATATGAAACAATTAATAATCATAGCCCTTTTCTAGACATTCCTGCTATTTTTTTTTCTTTTTCCATAAGAAAAATAAGCAAGATAATCATGAAAGTAATGGATTTACAACTGGATAGAATTTTATTAAACAACTAATTCAGCTCATTAATTTTATAAATTAAAAATGTAAATGGAGAGTCCCGGCCGGTTTGGCTCTGCGGTTAGAGCATCGGCCTGCGGTCCAGAGAGACCGGGTTCAGTTCCCGCTAAGGGCACGTACCTTGGTTGCAATTTGTCCCTCGCCCTGGTTGGGTCGTGCGGGTGGCAGCCACTTTATGTGTCCCTTTCACATCAATGTTTCCCTCTCTCTCTCTCTCCCTTGCACTCTATCTTAACAAAAAATGGAAAAATGTTCTGGGTGAGGATAAAAAAAAAACATAAATGGAGAATGAAAACAGGATAGTCACTCAGCTAACTAACAATAGAACTAAGAATTTAAGTTTCTTGCTGAACATTATTTTTGCTAATGTTGACCATTATTATGGTCAATAATACATTGTAGATCAGTACTTTTCTGTTTGATTCCATTGAAACTTATTTTCTCACCAAGTAATTTCATTCAGGATTAAAATCAGTGGGCCACTCTACTAATAACTACCAGGGCTGTTGAGAAAATGAGTAGGAAGCAAGCTTCCTAGTGTCGTGGTGTTTCTACTGTAGAAAAATACTTTAAGTTGGTCATACTGCCTAATAAGAAGAGGTTGGCAGAGAGGAAAATAAACTTGGTTAACTTTGACAGATTCATACTAGATGAAATGGTGAGCAAAGGCATGTAGGTAAAAACTATTGAAAAAAAATTTTTTTAAAGGAAAGGAAAAAAATTAAAACTCTAAAAGCTTCCGAAAGTCCTGGAGAATGTAATGGAAAGAAAAAGAGTAGCTATCAATTAAGGTACAACTTAAAGAAAACTAACTGAAGTTCAGTAGATGTAATGATTAAGTTGAAGTAAAGTGGAGAAGAGCAAGCGGAACTAAGAACTATAAGGAATAGGTATTATAGGGAATAATTGGCTTTCATGAGCAAGTGGTTATATCTGTTTTAATTATTATGTGGAGTTTTTATAGATTTTAAATGCAGAGTTATAAACACAAGTGAGTTTTTAATTAATATTGCCTCTAAATGAACTTTTCTGCTTTTACTTTAAGAGTATAGAAAATGTAGCTTCATCAGTGCTTGGAAAGTCTGTCTTTGTTAATTGGCCTCATCTTGAAGAAGCTAGAGTTGTTGGTGTATCAGATGGAGAAACCAAGTAAGATTTTATTATAATTTTTAAAAATTTATATTTGCTTTGCTACTTAATGGCTTTTATTGATACATTTTAACTGATATAATTATTGACATATTTATACTCTGTAGTGAAAACAAAAGTCTTCTAATCACAACAATTGAAGTTCACTATTGACAGTTTATTGTACATCCCTTGAGATATTTCAGATGCATATATTATTTTTTTCTGTTTTGCCTTCTTTTCCTTTTAACAGTTTGGAAGTTCTATGGCCTAATTCTTTTCTACCAGTTATTATTATATTATTTAGCAAATATATTCTCTTAATGACAAGAATGAATAGCATATATATAACCTTGCCTTTACCATGTCCTTCCCAGATTTTTTTTTAAGTAATAAATTCTTTAAACACTATTTTCTATATTAAAAACATTTAAAAAATTACTCAGGTTCACAATCATTTTATTAGTGTTTAGACAAGTTATTCTTTGTCATCTTTTATCTTTATTTCATGTAAACTTGGTCTGATATCTTGTTCTTTTGTTATTTTCATGTGTCTAGAATTTTCTAAATTAATTTTTTTTTTCCAGAGAAAATGAGGGGATGTTATGTTTTCTGAGTTACTACAAAATCAGAAGATCTTTGTTTCCCTCCCACATAGGTTTAGAATTCTAGAGGCCCAGTTATTATTCCTCAGATCTGTGTGAATTTTTTTTTTGTGGGTATCTGCTTTTTTGCATGAAATTGTGAGGATTCTATTTTAATCATCAGAATTCAGTCTCCCTGCCTTCTTGATGAAGTCCATCTTATCTTTTATGGATCATGCTTTTGGTCTAACTCTTCACCTAGCCCCAGCTCCCTAAGATTTTTTCCTAATTTTCAAAAAGTTTTATAGTTTTACTCCTTTTACATTTAAACCCATGATCTGTTGTGAATTAATTTTTGTATAAATATGAGGTTTAGATAAAGGTTCATACATTTGCCTAGGAATATTCTATTGCTTCACCATTTGTTGCAAAGGCTATTTCCTTCATAACATTGCTTTTACAGCCTTTTCAAAGACAGTTGAGCACAGTATGATTTCACTTATATATGGAATCATAAGAGCAAAATAAATAAATAAAACAAAAACAGACTCATAGATACAGAGAGAAAACTGATGGTTGCCAGATTTGGGGGGCGGGGTTGGAGAGCTGAGTGAAAAAGGTGAAGGGATTACAAAGTTCAAATTGGTAGTTGCAAAATAGCCATGGGGATGTAAAGTACAGCATAGAGAATATAGTCAGTTGTATTGAAAGACTGTATATGGTGTCAGATGGGTACTAAACTTACCAGGAGGGATCACTTGTAAATTATATGAATGTCTAACCACTAAGCTGTTCTGTTCACCTGAACCTAATATAAAATAATATTGAGTGTCAACTGTAATTGAAAGAAAAAATAGTTGAGTTGAACACACTTGTGTAGATCTACTACTTCTGACTTCTCCATTCTGTTCCATTGATCTGTGTGTCTGTTTTTATGCCAGTACCACACTGTCTTGTTACTGTAGCTATGTAATAAGTCTTAACCTTAGGTAGAGTTATTCCTTTCACCTTATTTTTATGTTTCAAAATTGTTTTAGCTTTTTGGTCCTTTGCCTTTCTGTATAAATTTTAGAATACAATTTTATCTACAAAAATTGAGGAGAGATTTTGATAGGAATTGTATTAAACCTATAAATTAATTTGGGGAGATTTGACATCTTTACTGCAGACCAAGTGGTCCACTCATCAGTGTTTTGTTTTTCTGTATACAGATTATGTACATGTTTTGTTAGATTTATACCTCAGTATTTAAATTACTTGGGAGCACGTATAGATGGTATAATGTTTTAAATGTCAGTTTCCCCAGCTAGTACATAGAAATATGGTTGATTTCTTTACGTTGATTTTATATCCTAGCACCTGGCTGAACGTACTTTCCTGCCTTTTTTTTTGAAGAGTGCAAGCCAAGTATTTTGTAAAATTCTGGATTTGATTTACCTGGTTGTTTTCTCTTAGTGTCATTTAGGTGGATCCTCTGTCCCACATATTTCCTGTAAACTGGAGCTAGGTGTAGTGGATTGTAGACCAAAGTTAAATTAAAAAAAATATATATATACTTTATTGAATTTGAGAGTACTTTTTATTTTTATTTTTTTAAATATGTTTTATTGATTTTTTTAGAGAGAGGAAGGGGGAGAGAGAGAGAGACATCGATGTGAAAGAGAAACATCAATCAGCTGCCTCCTGCATGCCCCCGACTGGGGATCTAGCCGGAAACCTGGGCATGTGCCCTGACCAGGAATCAAACTGGGACCTCTCAGTCCGTGGGTCAATGCTCAAGCCACTGAACCAAACCAGCCAGGCTAGAGTACTTTTTAATCTTTATATTTTTGTTGTATATTTAGTTTATTTTCTTAAGAAAGAAAGAATAGTAATTTGTTTTTAAATTTGGATTGAAATATTTTATAAGATCTTGTTCTGAAATTTATATTGCAGTTTTTAAAAAGGAAGCTTTTTTTTTCTATTATACCATGTAGAAACCTTTTTACTTTGAAGACTTATACTGCTAGAACTCTATACTAAACCACAAATTTGGGGGTAATATAATTTTTATATTTTTAAGGTTTTACTTGGAAGAACCTCCAGGCACACAGAAGCTTTATCTGGGAAGAACTGCTCCACCATCTAAAGTGGTTCATCTTGGAGACAAAGAACAATCTAACTGGACAAAAGAAGTACAAGGAATTTCAGAATAGTGAGTGTCATAAAAAGTATTTAATATCATAGAACTAGGATGGGATCTAATGTACTTATCCTCTAACTTATTTTCCACTTAACATGGTGATCACTCTGAAGACTGACTATGTCTTCATTTTATGTTGTAAAGAATGTAATGAGTTCTAGTTTAAAGTAGTATCTGGTTAGCAGCAGTTAGCCTTATCCAGTTCATCTCTGAAATACTTCATTATGTACAGAAAAAAAAGGAAAGAAAAAAAATAAAAGACATGATCACTTAATACTGGGAATAACAGTTAATAGTTTTTTGCCTTAATTTGGGAGTTACTTTTACTAACCATAAGGCTATTGAATTTCTTGGCCACATATAAGGAGTAAAAATAGGAAGGAAGACTGTCCTTTGATTCTCACCCTCTGCCTTACCTACTCCCCTTCACCCAAGCCCCATATGGCCCTGAATTTAGAAATGCAAGGCTTGTACCAACCTGATAACTAAGAAGCTAACCCTTAGAATGCCAGTTTTCAGGGTCACCAGAGTGCTTTGTGTCTCATGATCCCACCCTTAGAGCACCTCTCTTTCTTCGTCAACACACTAGTATTTCCTTAACCAAAACGGAGTAATAGAGACTGGCAGTGGCACATGAACTGGTGTTATAAATCTGTTTTCATCAGTTCTCCTGTTTAAACTGTGATAGCATCCATTATATCAGAGGAGACACTTCTACAATTTTGGAGCTAATACCAGGCTAGAATATTCTTATTCAAAGTTGAGTAAACAGGAAAAACCATAAAAAAAAAACACATAAAAAACCACCTACCATAAACGAAGAAGATAAATATAGCTCTCAGGAGTAGAGATAGAGCATATTTTTGTCTCCCAACAGTATACCCTTGTTTTATACATATAGTTCATATCTTTCTGCAAATGTTTATAGCACATAAACAAAATCATAATAATACATTTATTTGTTTATCTTAACTTTTTTTAGATAGTGTGCTCCATAAAGTAGGGAACACATTTGTTTTTGTCACCACTCTGCTCTCATTCCTTGGCTGGAGTCTAAGCATTCAGTAAATATTTGTTTGAATGAAAAAGAAATTGTTTTAAAAAAGACTGTTAATTAGAAAAAAAACTTATTCAAAATATTGAGTTTAGTCATTTGTTTATACAGCAATTCAACTGTTATTTATGGATACCTGCTGAGTATAGTAGTTGGCACTATACCATGGTGAATAAAATCCCACAGTCCCTATACTCATAAAACTTATGGCTGGTAGATGGGAGATGGATGTTAATATCTTGTGTGATTTTTGGATCAAACTGTGACTATGATAATTGCTCTGAAGAAATAGTACTCTGACACCATATAATAGAAGGGTTTGATCTAGTTAGGGAAGAATTTACTCTAGTCAGAGAAAACTTTCCTGAGGAATTGTTGATTAAACTGATACCTGAATGTGGAGTAGGAGTTAGTCAAAGAGTGAAAAAGAAGTATGTTTCAGGATGAGGGCAGGGTTACATGCAAAGTCCCTGTGGCACGAGGAGAAGCAGTATGTGTTATAGCCAATGTGGCTAGAGTGTTGGAACCAAGAAGGAACCCTGTTGAGGAAGATGAGGCAGGGAAGTGAAAGAGGCAAGCCAAGAGATAAAAGAAAAGCCAGGATATTTACATATTATAATATGGAAATGAAAGAAAAAGAGTGTTTCAAAAATAAGCCATGTAAAATGTTATGAAGAAGTTAATAAGGAAGAGCTATCCTGGTTGAACAGTGCGTCTTGTCCATGTTCACACATGAGAATGAATTCTAGTACCAGCCAGTTCAGGATCTCTTGTCAGCCAAGAAGGGTAGACAGGACTACATGGATTCATAAGTGCTCAAGTTTATTTATTCTAATCGCCATTTTCTTAAATTGCTTTTCTTGACCACAGTGTTCCTCCCTCATATCATCCCACATTTTGTCCCTTCCTCCCATACCTCCTCAGCTCTTTGTAATCTGTCTTCCAAGATGAAATTCACAAGACCACTGTTGTTCTGCCCCTGGGGGTTTATTTGAGGTTGAAGGTCATGAATTGATAATGTAATAATTGTTCTGTCTTTTGATAGTAGAGCTGGGCTTATCAGTCAGGTCTAGGAAAAGCAGATAGTTAGATTTAACCAGCACTGAATTTTGCCAGATGGGCACAACAAAAAGATGAAGAAGCAAGAAAATTTAGGATACTGGCAGGGATGTTACTGAAATGGTGGACAAAGGCATCTAAGTGGGGTAGCAAGAGAAGTGAAGAAAGTTAGAGGGTCAATAGTTTGAGAGAAAGTAGGAGGATAGGTGGACTGGAGATCCCAAATTAATTGAATATGAGTCATAAACAAAGTAGTTGAACAACAAGTTAGATGTAGAGGTTTTTAGACAAGCTATTTGAGTGATTTAAGTGAAAACATTATGAGTGATGTCATAACCCAAGCGATAGCCAAGAGAATAGGGGACTGAAGTGGAATGAAGAATAAGGTTATTAGAGATAGGGAGGTTGTAGAACTACTGTAGTCTTGGATAGATCATACATGTAAACATTCAGGTCACAAAAGAGTAGTTTACTGTTAGGGATTTGGATGTCACACTGGGTTGTTAGAGAACACCAACACCATCTCCTAGTCCTGTATGAAAACAAATGTAGAGAGGCTATCACTGAGAGATCTACACAGGTAAATGGTGGTACCTTTATTTAAGAAGGTGGATATAGAGGATATAATGGAGTGAAAAGATTTATGAATTAAAGAATAACAGAAGATTGGGAGGAAGGGAACAAAGAAATACTTGATGGAATGTTATGGGGAAGATGATGATGCACTTAGAGGATAATTTGGAGGAGAGTGCTTAAACCCTGTACCTCAAACAAGAAGAGATGGACCGACAAAAATGAGGGTCATCAAAAGATTTTGGTTATAAACATTGAAACTATTAAAGAATTTTTAAATACTAATTTTTGCTTTAGATATGAGAAAGTTACAAGATAATTTATAATTTAGAAATTCAGGAAAGTATTAAGTATTTTTTAAAAATTAATTCAAGCCCTAGATGGTTTGGCTCAGCGGTTAGAGCGTCAGTCTGCGGCCCAGAGAGACCCGGGTTCGGTTCCCGCTAAGGGCGCATACCTTGGTTGCAGTTTGTCCCCCGCCCTGCTTGGTCGTGCGGGAGGCAGCCACTCGATGTGTCCCTTTCATGTCAATGTTTCTCTCTCTTTCTCTCTTCCTTTCTCTCCCTCCCACTCTGTCTGAACAAAAAATGGAAAAATGTCCTCTGATGAGGATAAAAATAAATAAAGAAAATTTAATTCAAAAGTAACCATTAAGAGAAATATAAAGGAAGATTTCTAACTTGCAAAGTATGGGCAAGAAGTAAATGAAATGAAAGAAAGAATACAGGAGTCTTTCAGTCAAAATGGCAGAGTAGGGAAACCATGTACTTGCCTGCTATCACAGCCACATCAAAATTACAACTAATCTCTAGGCCATCATCAGTGAGAAATGCCTGAGAGCTCTCTGAACAGAAGTCATATTACTAAGGATATACAGAAGAAGCCAACTCAAGACTGGTAGAGGGATGGAGGTGCAGAACAGGTTGGTCCCACACCCACATGTAGTGGTTAAAAATTGGGAAGGTTATCTCCACTGCTGAGGTGGCCCCTGAGGGGCAAGGGTTCCCAGCCCCATACTGGGCCCCCCAGCCCAGAGTCCCAGTGCCAAGAAAAGAAGTCCCTATAACTTCTGGCTTTTAAAACTAGAGGAGATTGTGGCTGAGTGAGACAGAAGGTTGCTGGAATCCCTGGCATTCCTCTTTCAGGGCCCACAAATGGACTTAACACTCACTCGCTCTGCGATCCAGCACTGGGGCAGCCGCTTTTCCATATAGGGAGGAACTGAAGTGTCTGGCTTCACAGTGAGGGCTGGAGGGACAGCTTTCTCCCAGATAGAAGGGCTGGCAGGAGCCATTATTCCTTTGTTGATCCCTGCCCTGGTGATTCCTTGAGACCCCACCCCATCCAATTTGCAGACCCACCTAAACCACTTCCAGTGGCTTTTCCATATAAATGGTCTGTCTTGGCTTATGCTTTGGACTTCCCTAAAATCCCTGAAAGGTTCATAAAAAGCAACTAATCTTGCTATGCCCCATACCTCTTGCTAAGCAGCTCCAAGCCTGGCGCTAGTGGCAACTGGCCTAAATTCAATCTGGCCTCTCACATGCACATCCAAGCCCAGCACAAGTGACAACCACTTGCAGATCACTTTGTATCTCATACCAGGTGTGCTCGGGTAGGGCACAGGCAGTGGCTGACCTTGGCCAACACCTCCCAAGAGGCCTCAGAACTACAAGCTCAACTACAGCAGGAGGGACAACTCATACAAAAGACACACCTGGAGCACCTGGCTCAGGTAACCAGGGATACTGCACCACACAGGACACTTATTACATTAGGCAACTCTACCAAGAGTGGGACACATAGCATATTTAACTAAAACAGAAACAAACACAGGAAGGCAGCCAAAAAGAGAATACAAAAAAACATGTCCCAAATGAAAGAATCAGAACAAAACTCCAAAAAAAATAACTAAACAAAATGAAGACAAACAATCTACCAGATACAGAGTTCAAAACACTGATTATAAGAATGCTCAGTGATCTCAGTGAGAACTTCAGCAAAGAGATAGAAAACATAAAAAGGAAATAGAAAACCAGTAAGAAATTAAGAATACATTTTCCGTCTTCAACTGCTGCATCATGAAACCCTGCCACCATGTCTGCCCTCCTGCCATGGATGTTACATGGCACTGCTTCAGCTTCCTGCTCAAGAGGAGCAAGCAGACCTACAGCACTGAAACCAATAATGTGAAGGCCCACAATCCCTTTCACTACAAGGAGTAAATAGTAAATTAGATGAAGCAGAAGATCAAGTCAGTGATTTGGAAGATATGGTAGCAGAACACACCCTATCAGAACAACAAAAAGGAAACAATCCAAAAAAA